GGAACGGACTGGTCTGGGTCCTCTTTTGTCAACGGTGCTGGGAGGTTAATCGCCCGCTTGGCGATAAGAGGGTTCTCAGTAGGCTCGTGCGCATCCTCCGAGAGGTTTTCCAAAGGGGCCGCCAGGGGGTCTGAGGCCTGCGTTCTTCCTCCATGGTTGACGTATTGGTTGGCTGCCAAAGAAGAGTCCACAATATAATTTGTAATCCAAGACACAGATGTTGCACTTCACTTACTGTATAGTTCGAGTAGAGTTTCAACTACAGCTTCAGTTGAACTCGTACAGGAGTAGTAAGTTTTTGAGGGTTTCGACTGTCCGTGTATAATGTTTTGCATTGACTCTGTGAAATCTTAGGATTTTTTAACACTTCGAGTACTAGGACTTTATAGTTTTTTTTGTGTGGTGGCTATAGGCTCTTGTATTTTGGTTCTGAGGTCCCTAGTTGAAACCTAGGCTGTAGGAGCTTGGACACTGCGTCTCGTAGGAAGACAAGTGATTACAGCTAATGAGCTGGGTATTAGGAGTTTTCGTCGTAGACAAGGACTGAGACAGGAAGCTTGAAGAGCTTCGGCAGCTAAAGAGCCGCCCGTGGTGTGATTAGTTATACATACGCACTTTGGGGTCCGACCCTGCTTAAAGAAAATTCTGGAATTTCCAAATTCGGACCTAATTTTCGGTCTCGGCACGCAAATCGTGTTGTTGGGGACGAAGGTTACTGCTTCGGGTAGTTTGGGATGCGTGGAATGGTTTTTGGGCGCGTCGACGGGAGTCTTGGAAAATGAGACTTTTCCATTTCCCATGCCGCATCGTCCTATAGGGAGTTGTTGACGGCAACGGCCCTTATCAACTACTAATTACTAATTATCTTTGTAGAGACTGTTTTGTGGCTGCTTGGAGCGGTTTGGAGCGCGACAGTGAAATTTTCGAAAGTGAGGTGAAAATTCTAATTGCCTGGCCGCTCGCTCGGGATCGTCGCACTGTGGTTGTAGGTCCTTTGAGACGTCATCCTTGACTCCAGTGGAGACGGATTTTGTTTGAAGCAGTTTTTCCGCTTTTTCAATTACGAATGGAAAGTGTGGTGACTTGAAAATAAGACAGTTTTATTAGAATATTTGTTTCATTTTTTATAAAATGATTCTTATAACTTTTATTCATTATTCTCAGCTAGAATATTTTTTAATTTGCTATTTTTGTTTATTGGAATGCCTTTTATTTTTTTATACGTTATTGGTAACAAATTTGTTTAAAAAGTAGTAAGTAAATATTTTTTCTTAGCACAGCAAGCAAATATCCTGGCGCCGGACCGAGGACAAAAAAGGCTTGTAAACAAATACGTACCTGCAACAAAAACCACTGTAGATTTAGACAAGACCCAATTTTTTTATCTGAATCTGAGGATTACATTTTGTTTAAGATTTTCTATTTTATAATTCGTAATTGACAGCTTAGATTAAATAGTTTTATATTGTTTGTCATTAATTTTAATGACGACATCTCAAGGGTAAAGCTGTATTGCGTTTTTCTTAAATAAAGATGTAATCACTGGAAAGATGGAATTTAGGACAAAACAATATTGCGTTTTTTTAAAATGACAATGGAATCACTTGTATTTAGGTAGTTCCAATCAGTCACGTAACCAGATCTCTGAAATTGGATGGGCGCAAAGGAGCCCAAAAGAAATATATTACATTATTGTATTTACTATCCATACTCATTGAATAAGATCATTTATTTTATATTCTATACTTTGAAATAGGTATAAATAGGGTTAAGTAAAGTAATTTACTCGTATATTTAAATACATAATAAAAACCTTCATTAAGTGATTATATTTACCAGACCCTAAGTAAAATTTTTACACCCTACATTTGTCTCCTGTCTTTCTCACTCACTCCCACTGCGGACTCTCTTCTTGCTCCGCGCATCTTGTGAATAAGTGGTCAAGTTAAGTGAATATTTTTAAAAAGTTCTAGGCGTAGAAGTTACAATATATCAAAGAAACTGACCCCCTTATCTACGGCACTTACCTACAATTGAAAATGTAGGTTTACAATTTTGAGAATTAAAAAAAAATAAAGTAAAAATTATTTGTTCTAAAAAATTAGGGCCATATCTCCAAAAGAGTCTGCCATAGCTTCCAATGCGAATAGGTGTCCCAAAATTGACGCTAGAAGTAATTTTGATAGAAACCATAAGGTTTTTAATTAATATTATTTAATTTACATATTTTTAGTCATCTTGTACACACACACAGCTTATAGTGGAAAATATTTACTGAATATAAAATTACCTTTTGAAAACTTCCACTCCGTTATCGCCTTTATTATTCAATTTCATATCTGCACGTAAACGAAGAAAGAGCGGAAATTTCCATCACATAATTCGTTAGTAGACAGCTAGATAACTGCTGAATAATACAAGCTACTTGCGTGCCCACGTAGGTGGTAAAGCTTCCATTATCTGGGAAAAAATACCTATATTGTTAATCGATAATCACGTGCTGGTTATTAGCGCTAATAATAATAAGAAATTAATTAGTACTCTGGAATATGGAGGTTTTCCCATTGCCCTTGAAAGTTCAATAGCTCTACAGTTGTAATGTACGTTTACTTTGTATAAAAAAAACTCATAAGTCATATGTAGTAGTGATAAGTTTTTATTTCACATTATCCCTTACATTTTGATAAAAAACTTCACTTTTTACATATTTATTACTTTTTTTATTTGCAATAAATTTAAGGAGATGCATTTATCATCTGCCACTTAAAACTGAATATTTTATCAGTAAAAATTAAAATCGCATTAAGCTCTATTATCCAATAAATAATAAAAAAATATATAAATTGCATGTTCTATTCTATTGACGTATGCAATACAGTTATTAAAAAAGTTTAAGATTAACCATCTGCGCCAATTTATTTATAACAGGATTATAAATGTATACGGTTTATGGCTCCATTTAATAAATTATTATTGAATTTCACTTCTAAGTATTTTTTTTTTTCATTTATTGATTTAGTGTGTTTTTTATGTCATAATATATGTTTCATATTTCCATTTAAAATATTGTACTTACTTACCTTTTGTTAATTGGTGCTCAAGCTATTTTGAGATCCAAACTATAAAAGTTTTGTGAAAATAACATATTTTCTTATTAATTGAATTTAGTATTTAGTTCCAGGAAATTATATTTGGAAGTCTACTACTAGTATCTTAAATTTTTCCAACTTTTTTATTTTAGATTCTACACAATTTGATAATTAAATTGAATTTTATCTCATATTTATTTCGTATACTGTATAATTTTGTCCCCAGGAACCCTAAATACAGCTAGTCCTACATTGAAGGTAGAGCCGGATTAACCAGGGGGCTAGCGGGGGCTGTAGCCCCGGGCCCCACAGGCTCCGGGGCGCCACAGGCTCCGGGGCCCCACATGCTATTGGAAAAAATTAAAAAAAAACAGATTAATGAACGGTAATAAAAACACTTAATGACAATTTCTAATGCTATTTTTTACCTGAACAAATCATTTTCATTGGAAATGTAGGTATGTTGTATTACATATAAAATGTAATATTAAGAAAATAGCATACTAAATTAATTAATTTAAAAGGACTTTTGCTTCCTCATAAAGAAAGTTTAAGAGGACCCCTTCCCTTCAAGCCCCAGGCCCCACCGAGGCTTAATCCGGCGCTGGTTGAAGGATATCCGAAAGGTTAGAACGCCATTCAACCACAGACTCCTGGGATCAAAATGAAACTTACAAAAATTAACTATCTCTAAATCCTTAGCCACCTATTAACTTTTTTATGCATACGCCAATGACTAATCTAATTTTCATTTTCATTTTTTCATAAACACCCTATCCGAAGATTTCCCTATTTTTCTTGAAATCCACCTCAATATCAAGTTTGGACTAAAGACAAAATTTTTTTAGGAAATAATTTCGTATTAAAATAGTCATATAGGCGTAATCAAAGAGATATTATTAAGTTGGGGGAGATTTTTCCAGCTCAAAGTGAAATACACCGTAGCACGAAAAAGTTTTAGCAGTTTAAATGCGTTCTAATGGTCGCTTGTGGCGCCCTCTAGAAGATATAACGAAATCGTCGATAAATTCGAATTTCTCATCCCAAAAAACCCCCGGATACGAAATTACCTCAAAGTAGTTGAAAGATATTAAAGAAAATTTATTTTTTCAACTTTGACACCTTGTAGCTCCGATATTATCAATTGGTGGTGGTCTATGTCAATTCTTGGATTAGGGCAAATTTAGTTAAATCGACTTATTCGACTCTGTTGGAGTGTTGTACAGACCCTTTAGACACCCTGTAGTATACAGAAAACGTAGCTTCCAAAACATTATAGATTATTTTGAAAATATTTACTCAACCGAACATAGTTATTGTTTTGTAAGTGTCACTAACATACTACACTTATTCATTAAAACACATACAAACAAGATAACATTTTCATTATAAAGGAATAAATAGGTACCTAATACCTTATTGAAATATATTGCTTGTAAATTAGATATAAATAATTCTGTTTTCTTCTCTCTCGGCTATTGTTCTCTAATAATTTAATGAATAATTTATAAAATATTAGCGTACATCATTCGTGACGAATCCTAAGCAAGCAGTAAGGCAGTTGCAATGCGCCGTTCTATTTTTAGATCCAGTAGGTTAGTCGATATATTATCATCATGAACGTACTGATGTAGTGGAAATGGGTTTCTAGCCGGTAATTTTCCACTCAATCCTCCAACCGTCTGCGTATCACAGAGAGGCGGGTCGTGGTGATTCACGAACTCTTGCATTACTTTTAAATCAGAATTGTTAATTGATTTCAATATTAAAATATGACAAAGTGTAAATATTAATGATAAGATTAGCTCTAGTCTCAAAAATGATTTTACCTTGGGGCAGGTCATTGCACCTCGACAAGAAAGTTTACTTACACATCTACAGGCAATGGAAAAGAGCATTGAAACACAAATATTTTTCCAACTTATTTATTCAATCTCAATAAAAACAAATACAATGGTTTCACAATATTTAGCACACTTCCAATACATATTAGACATTGACAATGCAGAAATAAATCGAACAAGGTATATATCATGACCAAACAATTTATTTTGAAATATTATTGTACATGTAGGAAATTCGTTAGATGCGATATACAATATTAAAACTGGAATGTTTATATAAAACCGATGAGGGCAGTGTTTTTTAGTGGTAGATCGGTACATTTGGGCACCAGAATATTGGTCATCCTCACACTAAAAATATCCCCCTCTAGATACCAATTATTACATTTATATACTACAGCCTATCTGATATTAACAAGCAAATATTGTTTATATTATAAACTCCTTAAGTATGCCTCCTCTTTACAGTCTTTCGTTTAAGTCATTTTTAAGCTACCTTTATTAACTTCTAAACAGTCCCTCAACTACAGCAGGATGACAATTGACGATTTCTATTTAAACAACAAATTTTGTGCCTTGATGATCCACAGAATAGTAAATATCTTTCTTAGATTAATTTAGACATTTTGGAGATCAAAAATATTATTTGGTAAACAAAATATCATCCCACCATACAAATCTCACTAAGTCGACCGAGCTAGCCTTTGTAAATAAATTTAAAGCTAGATACAATAAGTATATACATTTTCTAAAATAATCTACATATCACAGGACAACATATCATTTGCTATACCTGAACATACGTAGCGCAGTCCGGTTAGCTTCGGCCGTTAATACAACGTAGTCATTGACCTAAAGTCTTCATTTCACTAGGAGGTGGAGTCCGAGTCCTTCTCTGTGGGAGAAACCTCATCCTTATCTCATGAACTAGTCCTCTCGTTATCCGAGTCTTTGGTTCTCAAAGACCTCTTCAGCTTGTCCAGCAGCCTGGTGTGAAACTTGTTGAGACTTGCTGTTGATCCACTTTTGGGAGGAGATGAGGATACACTTTTCACAGGACTTTGCAGACTGCCCTCGCTGGTTCTAGAACTTGCCCTGGAGTATTGTCTTGAAGACATGTTTGCCGGCACAGAGCGGTGAGTTGGAGACGTAATAAAGTCGGACCCAGGCGATGTTGATAAACTAGGCCCTTCAGATCTGCACTCGGATACTTTTCTTGACCGGCAAGAAGTTGCGTTCGAGCATTCCGAAACTCTTCTGGAACGATTGGATTTGTAAATATCCCAATCGTTTTTTACCACTGGCATCATAAAAGCCATTGTTGTTATCGTAAAAAATCACTAGGAAAAACGAAAACAAATATTGCACACTTATGTTGCGGATAATAATTCAAAATTTTAAACTGACAGGTAGGATCACATTCACACTATAATTCTCTTGCTGTAAATGAGGCTTTCCGTGTGTACAAAGCTGTTTTATGTCACGGAACAACGTACTAGGAGTACTCTGATTGGCTGGATTTTCGTTGGTGGGGAAGATGCATGTGACGGTGCTTTTAATGCGTTTACATATGAAAACAAATTTATTTACCGGAAAACTAAATAATTATTTTACGTATCATTAACAAAATGTAGAAAATATTGATTATGTGACGTATAATACATAAATTATAATATATGATATGGAATTATCAGTCTCATGTCAAGAGAAATTCTAGAACGTAGATTTGAGATTGCGCCGCAAGTCAAAAAATATTGATTATTGAGTCGGTAGATGTCACTACTAAAGGATTTAAATTAAAACTACTTAAATTAATTATCTAAAATATTTTAGATTTGCAAACTGGTGTGTTTGAATAATTAACTGTAGGTATATGATATAACATTCTCCCTTTAAAAATATCAAAAAAGATAATTTTTTAGTCTTCACCAAAGAGAAAATAGCAAATATAATAGCTATATTATAAGTATGTGCGCTAATTATAATATATTTTAAATTTCAGGCAAAGGTTCGTGGAACAACAACTGAACAACGGAACAACGAAAGTAAATAAATTATAGTTTTCTTCTTTCCCAAAATGAAAGCTATTTTAAGCAGTTACCATAATTATTTTCAGATGGCGCTATGTATTAGAGAATTTAGAATATTTTTAAGTTTCGCCAAAAAAATCTACAAAAATTGAGATCGTACTTAGTACTCATCTCTGTAAACATGGTTATTAAATTTGAACTTGATACATCAGATATTAGACTTTGATAAAAATGAACATGCCTAATATTTAGGGATAAATGTAATTGACGCATTGGTACCTCTGCTATTTGTTAGTGTCATTGAGTTTTTTAGTGCGGTACCACTGTTACCAGTGCTGCCACGATACTTGGTGTTACTGCTGCCAAATGTCAACATTGTCAACTTAACACAAACATTTGACCCTAGATTAGAGAAGTATACATTTGACAGTAAAAATAAAGATTCATCCTGGGTTTCAAATTTTTCAAATAAAAAAAAATGTCTAAAGTGAACGAAGTATCGGCTTTGTACAAGCAACTAAAAACGGAATGGAATACCACCAATCCAAATTTAAGCAAATGCGAAAAACTTCTGTCGGACTTAAAGGTAAAACATTTATTATAAAAGTCTAACCTTATTAACAACACTGATTTTTAGCTTGAACTTACAAATTTAATGTTTCTTCCAACATCAAATGCTACAGCTTCCAAACAGGAATTACTGTTAGCTAGAGATGTATTAGAAATTGGAGTACAGTGGAGCATTGCAGCAAATAATATTCCATCATTTGAGAGATACATCGCCCAGTTAAAATGTTACTATTTTGACTACAAAAATCAGTTACCTGAATCGTCGTTTAAATATCAATTGCTTGGTTTGAATTTGCTCTTTTTATTGTCACAAAACCGAGTTGCAGAATTTCACACAGAATTGGAACTTCTACCAGCTGACCATATACAGAATGATGTATACATTAGACATCCGTTATCCATTGAGCAATATTTAATGGAAGGAAGTTACAATAAGGTATAGTCTATTGAAATTGTCGTTTATAATTTCATATTTTTATTTTTGGATGTGATGACTTTTAGATTTTCTTAGCCAAGGGTAATGTACCAGCTAAAAGTTACAATTTCTTTATGGATATTTTGTTAGATACTATAAGAGGAGAAATAGCCGTGTGCTTAGAGAAAGCTTATGAAAAGATTTCACTTAAAGATGTCGCTAGGATGTTATATCTACCTAGTGAAGAGGCTGCCAAATCATTTGCAACAAAGGTAAAAAAATTTATGTTTTTCGTATCAGCCGTTTGTTGGGTATAGTTCAAAGGTTTAAAAGTATAAATATTTTTATTCTTAAATGAATAATTCACACAGTATTCTTAATTTCCCTTCTAGAACAAGAAGTGGAAATTGGGCAAGGACAACTTTTTTCACTTTACTCCGGAAATTAAGAAGACCCATGAACCAATTCCGTCAAATGAACTAGCTGTGCAAGCTATTGAATATGCTAAGGAGTTGGAAATGATTGTGTAAATTTTCCTTATGTTTTAATATTTCTTTTTTCATAAATTTAATAAACATCCTTTTTTACATTTTTTTAATGTTAACTCTTAAATATTTCCTTAAATGATAGTACGATTACCTAATGTAACGAATTTGGAATAAAAAAACTGACTCTATTAAGGAAGATAAGTTCACAGTTGTGACAAAATAATGGTAAAACTAGCTGCTATAACACTGAAAATATTGTTAAAACGGTAAGAATAAATAATTTAAGAGCCCTTTACTATTGATTTATCGAATGCAGCCCAAATTGTTTATGGGAATTTTTTGTTATCAAATGCATTTCATTAAACAAAAAAAAAACAACTATACCAGTAAAAAGAAATTACAAAGTTATTTGTGTACGTTTCACTATATTTTTTTGACACTAAAAAATATATAATTTTTTTTAAACTATGTACATACATTTTGAAATTATGTAATAAAAAACAAAGTTATTTAAGTTTGTTCAAATTCTTTCCAATCTTTTGAGAAGGCCAGAACTCTTTTACTCTGTTCATCGAAACTCTGCCTCTTAGGTTTCCTCCATTTACTGTGGTGAACGTCTAACATTCCGCCAATAATTTCTTGTGCAAAATTTCTAGGGAACATTTGCTCATCTTCAATGACATGTGCAAAACCCTGTTCCATACCAAAAGAAACTGAGAAGTAAGGTAAACCTTTTGGAATTGCTTTCCTAACATCTCTTCCTTTTAAAGAAACAAGCTTCTTATTAAGAGCCCATTCAGTTTCCGACTCATCGATAGCTTTTTTAAAGTAAATAGGGGCCATATCACCATCCTCTTTTGGCATTGGGATACACTCGATAAACATGTGAGGAAATTTATTAAGCGAAATGGCAGTTTCAAAAAATATTATTTCCTCATTTTTAGAATGGAATAATTTCACTAGGTCTCTTCTGATATCAAGGATTTCAGACCATTCATTCTCATCCAATTGAGTAGAGCACGGTACATGTCGAAATGGAATAATGAGGCAATGTCCTTCAGTTAAGGGTTCGTATGATGGAAGAGCCAGGTACGAAGTTTCTCTCATGAATACCATAAGATGCTTTAGCATCGTCTCTGATTGAATACATCTGTTACAATTATCTAAACTTTTAGCAATCCTCTGATGTTCGTTTACTGCCTTGTCCCTTTTTTTGGCGTCAATCTTTGAATCCGATTCTTGTTTACGAATGTTGTCTGCGAATATATCATCTAAATCATCATTTTTACGAATCTTCCCAGCCATTTTCACAAATTCACTGTTTTGGTCCTCCACAGAATTATACTTTTCACTTTCAAACATCTGCTTTAACGAATATTTATCATCATCGGCGAAATATCTAACCCTTTGTCCATCTCTATGTGTCTCGACTTTCTTTTTTCTCTTATGGGAACCTGAAGACTCTCCATATTCCGACTGCTGTTTTAAAGGTTGTGATCTGCCCTGAGAGTCAGTATGAGTTAATAATATTTCCTCTTCCTGTATCTTTGACGATTTAATGTCCTTTTGACAATTTCGTGCCTTATCTAATTTATCTTTTAATTCAGTTACAAGTTTTATGTTGCCCATTAGTTCAGCTTTAACCAGTTTAGCTGCCAGTAAATTTAATTCCTTTTCTGACAAGACGTTATCACTATTTGTACCACTCAGGTTTGCACCTGAATTTTCCAACTTACTTCCTGAATGCAGCTTTATAGAATCAGATAAACCAATTTCTTTTGCATCTTTTTTCTTCCTCCAATTAGAAGTCTCATTGTAGCATTGTGATTTTGTATTATGGTAATTAACGTGCTCATCGTCTATATTTGGTTTTTTAAATTTTGGCAAACCGTCACCACCATCCTTCCAATATGGATTTAATTCTCTTGAACAGAGTCTAGGATCATAATGTTGTTTCTCTCTTTTTAACCTCTTTACTTCATCTCTTTCCTTTTTTCGATCAGAATTCGAAGAAGTTAAAAAACAGGTTGGTAGACCCATCCAATCCTCCCTTTGATTTTTATCACTCTCATTATCAACTACTGAACCACCTAAATCACCAGTATGCTTTGGTTTTTCTTTCTTTTTCTTTGTTTCATCATCGCTTGAAGATGTGTTTCGATTATCTTCTTCAAAACTGTATTTTCTTTTGTGCGAACTAGATTTTTTATTATAATTTTCTTCAGATGACGAACTACTACTATTAACTTTTTTCTCAACCCATTCTTCTTCTGAACTCGAACAGTATTTTTGTTTGCGGGAACATGATTTTTTATTATATTCCTCTTCAGATGATGAACTACTAGTATTAACTTTTTTCTCAACCCATTCCTCTTCTGAACTTGAACTGTATTTCTTTGTTTGCTTTTTGACTATCTTCTTTTTGTTTTTCTTATGTTTCTTTGATTCCTCTTTGTGCTTTCCCTAGAAATTGTAGAACTCAAACATCGGAAAAAATAAACTAATTGAATTAAAAAATTACCATTTTCAGATTTAAAAGTACCTGCTATTAAGATTTTTGAGTAACTTGTTTATGTTTAGGTTAGAAAGTAGCTGTGCTGTTAATTATTTTAGGTTAGTTTAATAAACTACTACCAATCAAAAGTCAAGAAAAACGCTAGAAAATTGACCAAATTCTAGTAACTTTTTCCTCTTAATGTTTTTTATGCCACGAACATCATCATCGCGATGGCCACTGAGTGTGACGTTTCACAAGTTTCCGAAAAATTTGGAAACTTTACAATAGAACAAGGAAACGACAAAAAAGTCAATGAAAATTACGTAGTAAGTGAAAACCTAGAATATGGCTTGCCGCTAACAGAAGTGTATAAATTAGCATTTAATTTTTACAGGGGTAATTTATCACTTGATAGAACTATTTATTTACTTTTTTTATATATGATTTTTATAGAGAAAGAAGGCAAAGCAGTTCACTTTAGTTATGAGGACAAATTACAATTAGTAGCGTTTTCTCAACAAGTTCTTCATGGACCATATACAGAAGCAATACATAAATTACCTCCATTGGGAGCGTTCGATGTTGTAGGAAGAGATAGACGTTTGGCATGGCAAAAATTAGGTCAACTTTCCAGTGATCAGGCTCGAACAGGCTTTGTGGAATTACTTAGTAGACGCTGCCCTTTATTTTCCACCTACATAGAAGCACATAGAAGGGAGAAAAAAGAAAAAGAGAGAAAAGCGTAAGTTGTGAAGTCAGATATGTAATTGCCATATTACTTTATTTATATATAATGTGAAACTCCTTTTTGTTGCAATTGACGAACTGAGATTTTGCTTTAGAAAAGAGGAGGAATCTCGTAAACTTATCGAAGAAGAAGAGAAGTTAAAAAAGAGTGAGGAAGAAAAATTTATACAAGAACAATTATTGAAGGAAGAAGCTATTAAGCGGCAAATTCAACAGGCTTTAAATGAACAAACTTATGATCAGTTTAGGAAATATGCTGAGCAGCAATATCCAGGTAATTAATAATTATATGGGTAAAAAAAATCTTTACTATTATCAATCAGAAATTTATTGCAACTTAATTTTTGTATTAGGTGATCCCGAAAAACAAGGGAATTTAATAAGGCAATTACAAGATCAGCATTATATACAGTACATGCAACAGTTACAAGCTGCACAAAGAGATCCAGAAACCAATAAAAATGCAAATTGTGATAAGGAAAAAGTAAGTGAAGATGTGAGTACACTTAAACTATTTTAATTTAATTAGTAAATATATGTAACTAATTTATTTTTAGTCAAAACCTGCTGATAATTCTAATGATACGAATCAGGAAGCAGAAGAATCGGATGAACCGGGACTGGTGGCTGCTAGCATGTGGACTCGATCGGACATAGATGTTTTTAAACAAAGCGTTTCACAAGGGGAAGGAGATGGGGTGGTCAGGGTTGGCCATGGAGAAACCGTTACGGTCCGAGTTCCGACACATCCTCAGGGCTCACGTCTCTTTTGGGAATTTGCTACAGACCACTACGATATAGGTAACATAATAGTAATATAATTTAAAAAAAAATCAGTGTTGAACAGGGTACACAGAAATATATTTAGGATATTTTTTATTTAAATCAATGTGTTGAACAAAACTGGAATACTGGTAAATAACTGTTTAAATTTGCCATCAGATCTCTCGTCTATTCCGAAATCCGTATAAATGAAACAGTTAAAATTTTATATATTTGAAAAAATACACATATTAAAAAAAACATTTTTTATAAATAAGTGGAATTTAGCACCATTAATTTATTTTGAACGAATTTAGATTTCCATATTTGGCCAACAATGGGAATATTTTTTGAAAGCCTATCGGAGTAACTTCCAGCATCAATACTTCGTACTATTGGATTTAAAAAATTTCCATGAACCTGAGAAATTCCTTCATATTTTCAGATATATAAAATTCCTTGAAAAAGTTTTCCAAATAACAGTACGTCCTACCATGTTGCTCTGGATTGATAAGCATCAGACACCTTAAGATCTTTAAGTAAATTTTCAAAATAATAAGTATTTTTTTAAGTGTTTATTTCCTCATTTTTTCATTTTTTTGCCCCAGAAAAAAGTTATTTTCCAATTTCTTCAGTTTTTCTTTTACTCTTTCAAATTGTTGAATCTACTCGAAGCTTAACAGTTGCCAACAACTTTTGTAACAATTTAGATGTTTTGTTTCGTTTTCTTTTGTACTTCCACTGTTCTTATACATTTTTTGTTTGTATTGTTTCTTTTTTACTGCATTCTTTGATGTTTGTAACCACTAATTAATTAATGATAATTAAGTTAAGCAACAAATAGGTCTGACTCGTAGCAGTTATCTATTCAGCAAAATCTCAGTTTGGTCAAGCATGCAGATTTCAGGGTGATGCCAAAATGATCGGGGATATTTTCTAGAGTGGCAGCATAAAAATAAATTACCCATTTATTAAAGATGTCTAATTGTTTAATTTGAGTAAGTTGTAACACCCCTTTAACCATTTCCTAGGATTTGGAGTTTATTTTGAATTTGGTACTCCCACCAGCGAAGAAGTGTCTGTCCACGTGTCTGAAAGCGATGATGAGGACATGGAGGACTTAGATGAAGACGAAATATTCGATGATGAAACTATCCGCACAAACGACTTAGAGTCTGGATCTATATCGATTAATGGTATTTCCAAACCGTTACTCCATGAAATAGTTCCTGTTTACAGACGAGACTGTCAGAACGAGGTGTATGCCGGTTCGCATCCCTATCCAGGGAAAGGGGTGTATCTGCTTAAATTCGATAACTCTTATTCATTATGGAGGTCAAAGACGCTGTATTACAGGGTATATTACACCCATTAAAGATTGCGTAATTTATTTTTTTTTATGTGTTATGCTGTGCTATAACGGTGCAACTGTTAGCGTACTCTTCCGAATATACAAAAATTATTTATTGCGTCATAAAGAATTTAAAGGTTCATTTTTCGTATTTTTTACCATTGAATTTCTGCTAGATTTATAAACTTTGCCTTGCTTTACTTACATAAATTTTCAAAGAATTTCAAGACTTGTTTATTTAGACTTATGGTTATTATAAATAGCTTAGATCAATCCAATAAAATCAGCTCTTGTGGAGTTGGCAGACTACAGTTCAATCCTTTAATATACGAGGTGTTTTGAAAAAAGGTGCCATAAATTCAGAGACTGATAGAACATCGAAATGCCAGCTGATTTTTTACAGTGAAGCATAGTCATAGAATACCTACCTAACAGTTAAAATAATAATTTAATGTCAAAACTTCTGATTTAAAACTTACAGTTAGTTACAGAATTACTTTTCAATTTCTTAACCTTTGCTAGGAATCTTTGACTTGGCCTTGTTGTTCTCGGGCTAGACTCTGTGGGTGTAGACCCACTATTAGATTTCCTAGGCCTGGCCTTTGTAAATATTGGTTCTTCTAGGGTTTAAAGTCAGGCATAACAGCGCAAAAAGCCATCATACTTTAAATATTAGCAAGGATCTTGAAAGCCTTAAAATCTCTTTATTTTCTATTCCCAAATTGAAGTTATATAATAACTTTCCAGGAAACTTCGAGTTAGGTTTCTAATTTCGTTTGTTAGGAATTTTCAGCCGTGGTTCTATTGTCTTTTGTTTTTAAGATAGAGTTAAGTTTAAGTAAAAGGTGCCATTTTTTAAATTGCATATTTGTCATATCATTTACAAAACATGCCGTACATACATTAAAATTTTGTACATTCAAGGTTTTGAAAATGAAACGTTAATATTGTTAGTTTTCGGTTATCTTGTAGAGGTCGCTAGTTGCGATATTCTCATTGGCGTTTAGTAACTTTTGTTTTGAGGTTAGATCTTCTGGATTTTATTCACTTTCTATTTTTTGTTCTTGTTCAGTCTGTTAGAAAGTTACTGTTTTCTGGAAAACCATTGTCTTTTTCAAAGTCGATCGATTTCTGTCAAGTATGTTCTGTTAGGTATATCTGAAAAAGACTGGTTAACGCAATTGAAAACTAACATTGACATTTTTAGTATCCTGAAAAACATGCTTGTATCAAATTTCAATGCAATATATTGTTTTTCATAAAAGATAAAACCAAAATTTTATTTAAAAAAATGTTTTTTGAAGCTTAATTGTATCTGATCCATAAGAAAAAATTGTTTTATTTTTCGATTTTCTATCTGCACCTGAATTTATGGCACCTTTTATCAAAACATCCTGTTTTTACAAATTTAACCAATAACGAAGTTTAACATTGAATTTTAGTTATTGGCTTTTAGTTCTGGTATAAAATACCAGTGTCTTTTAAAGCGTGTAAGTTGGATGTACTGTACTCTGCTTTCATGGCATGGGGATTTACAGTTGCTGTGAACATTTTAGAGTATTAAAAGGCTTTTCCAAAAGACAGTTTTCACATAAAGTATAATTTGTAAGATTCACAACAATTGTAAACAATCCAAAAGTGTTATGTTACTTTTTTATTTCTTATTATTTGTAACTAAATTTGTAAAATATGTAATAAATTTTATGTTTACAATATTTTTTTTTTTACTTTTCCGAATCACATAAATTTAAATAAAGATAACGTTTAAGTACGTTCCAATAATAAACGGGTGATTTCGTAGGTTATTTAAAAAAATATCGGTTTTAACAATTTTAATAACAATCTTTGTTGCTAATAAATTTTGAATACAAAAAAAACTCATTGGTGTAGAACTTTTGCATATGAAGAATGGAAGAAATGTGCAAATGTAGTTTTTGGAATTTTATTCTTTAATTTGTATTTAAAACTATATTATAAACTTGCAAATGACTCAAAAAGGAGGAGGGCCCCTAAGGCCGGTTTTTGGCTGAAAAAATCTGAAAAAAATTTATTTAGTACCTACTAGCAATACTGAATCGTTTCCACCCTAAACGGACCAACCCCCTCACCCTCCTTTCCCCCTCCAGCCCCTTAAATGATGACACATTTACATTGAATAAAACAAAAAAGAAAAAATCAATAATTATATATACATGTTTGTGTATATTTGATTAGCCACTTTGAATTTCGTGATTCTGAATTCATAATTGTAAGAAAGTTTCTATAAACAAATATTTGAGAATTATGAAGATCTTTTTAATTTTTTTGTCCGGCATATGAAATACGTCAATTTGAATTTCGTAATTCTGCCTTCAGATTCGTAATCAGAGACCCAAAAAACCCCACTACACAAAAATTCATGCATTTTACAGACATTTTAATTATTTGTCCGCCATATTGAATCCACTATTTTGAATTTCGTGATTTAGAGTCCAGATTCGTAATCGCATAGACCCAAAAAACCCCATTACAAAAAAATTCATGCATTTTAAAGACATTTCAATTTTCTTGTCCACCATATTGGATCCGCCATATTGAGTTTCATAATTCTGAGACCAGATTCGTGATCAACGACCCAAAATACTCTTCATATGTAAGATTCATAGGAATTGAATATCTTTTCGCATCTCTAAGCTCTTTAAAGATTCCTCTAATAGGTGATGGTTTCCCCGGCATTTAAGGAGGTGGAGATGAGAGAAAGGAGGGTGAGGGGGTTGGTCTGTTTAGGGTGGAAACGATTTAGTATTGCTAGTAGTAGGTACTATAAAAAAAATTAGGCCAAAAACCGGTCTTAGGGGCTCTCCTCCTTTTTATTTGAAGTATTATGATTCAAATGTCCTGATCAAACATTCAGTGATGCCAAAATGTTGGTCTTAGTTATGGAGTGTCCCCCAGTGCCTCTACCTTTGGTTAACAATTGTATACAAATTCAGTGAATTTCTTTTGCTTAGTCTAAATTTCATTAATCTACATCAAATACGTTTCACGATTTTTATGCATATTTTTTTAAAATGTACTTCACAAATTATACATTGTGTTTCACTTAAAATCGGAACACCTCTGTATTAAAGATGGCATTGGCCAATTTCCAAAATTTTTTTTATGTGGTAGTACACTCAAAGAGGCCTACTTTTTGATAGTATATTTTTTGACATGTGATCTTTTCTACAGCCTACTATAATTAAGAAAAGACCCTCAACATTAATAAACATATTAGGCATTTTTCTAAGAAAGAAATGGATAGCATTTTTTATTTGATCACACCTCAAAACCCTAAAAACAAAGTTTCATTATTATAGCTTTGACAGGGTGTTCACAAAATAGGTGCAAACTTCGAAAAATTTCACTGAAATTGCAGTGTCCTGTGTATTAACAGTGGAAAATATTTTCAAGATATGTTTTCATAATTTTATTAACCGAAGGTATATCCATACAGTTTCATTGATTTCACTCATACAGGGTGCTCACAATAGGACAGCCAAATTATATATATTTTTTTATTATACCTACCAGAAATGAAATAATATTTGAATATTACTATTTTCTATTATTTCACCATCATTTGGCATGTACTGTTCAATTCGTCTCCTCTTAATTCTAATAACTCTCCTCAACTGATGTGTGTGAAGTTATTTGACGACATGCTCGTCTATTACATAAATCTTCTCTGTTCTGGGGCCTTTTTTTATACATTATCTTTTTCACAGTTCCCCTTAAAAAAATCAAGAGGCATCAAGTCTGGAGCTCTTGATGTCCACTCAACTAATGAAATGTTGCGACCCATCCACTTTCTCGGGAAATACTCATTCAACCAATGACGTACTATTTACCGCATTATAAATAGGTGCTCTATATAATTGAAGGTAGGGGTTCTGTCTTACATGAAGAGGAAATGCATGTACTGATTACTGAATCCCAGAAATCATTTAAAAAATTCATAAAAATCTCTACGTTTAGATTAACGTAAAAAAAAGAAAGGTCCGATTATTCGATCACATAAAAACCCACAAAACACAAATTTTTTTAATAAAGATTTATGTAATAGAATTAGACAAGCATGTTGACCAATAACACCACATCAGTTGAGGAGTTATTAAAAATCAGAGGAGACGAATTGAAGAGTGCATACCAAATGATGGTGGAATAATAGAAAATAGTAATATTTAAATATTATTTTGTTGTGAAACTCATTTCTGGTATAATAAAAAACATATTTAATTTGGCCGTCTTATTGTGAGCACCCTGTATGAGTGAAATCAATGAACATACCTTCAAAATATTTTCCAGTGTTAATACAGCACACTCTGCAATGAGTGAATTTTTTCGAAGTTTGCACCTATTTTGCGAACGCCCTGCAGAAGCTAAAATAATGAAACTTTGTATTTAGGGTTTCGAGATATAATCAAATCAAAAATGCTATCCGTTCGTTTCTTAAAAAAATGCTTAATATGTTTTTTAATATTTGGGTGTCTCTTCTTAATGATGGTAGGCCGTAGAAAAGATCATGTCAAAAAATATAATATCAAAAAGTAGGCCTTTTTGAGTACTACCACACATAAAAAAGAATTTTGGAAATCGGCAAACGCCATCCTGTCCCGACTCTAAGTGAAACACTGTATATGCCATTTAAAAATAAGTTCATATTTTACTTCAAATATCTTAAAACCTGCATGGCCAATTTTGATAAAACTTGGTTCGTTTTTAGTAATAAGGGGCCCAATTTGATGTAATTAGGTTTCATACAATTATTTCAGGAGGGGCACCGGTGTATCCCAACTAAATATTTTAAAGAAAAATTTGAGCAATCCTCTGCTTTTTTATGAGTTTGATATTAACGTTTAGATTAAGTGATTAAAAATACAATTTTTTTGTCTTATCTTGCTTACTTATTGAGAAAACAATACAATTTAATTTCATTAAAATGAAGTATTTTAAAACCTTTAAAATTTTGATAATCCCTAGTACACAATTTCATCTAAACAATTCCACAATCACAATGTTTAAAAATAAACAACAAATTTTATATAAGGTTTTTTTAACTTTAAAACTCTGTACTATGAAAACGAGCTTTAAAACATACAATTCATGTAATTTTTTTTTATTTTTGCTAGTTCTAAAAGCCTTATTAAATTTTCCAGATAAAAACCCGAAACATAAGTGTTTATAAAATTAAACGAAATATATATGTATTATTTATTTAGTAAAAAATTCTTAAAAATTTACAAAATAAGGCACATCATTATTAAATAATATTAAGGCAATCTTATTAATTACAATTTTCACAGTCTTCCAATTTCTCATTAAAACAATTTCAGAAGTAAAAGTGCAGTTGTTATTTTTAATTCTTCAAAATATCTAACATTAAACTTTATAGTATAATAGTTTTATTAAAAAATATTTTATTCATTTACCAAATCATAACAGAAATCTGAAGACTCAAGACTAATACATTTTCCAGAAAATTATTACCAACTATTCATAGTTGGCTTCAGCTAACTGCTTAGTTCAAATAGTGATTTTGAGTTTTCTTTGATGAAGAAAAAAAACTTACAAACAATATTAACTAACTGAACACTTCATTTATAATAAGCGTACATGAAAATACAAAATCACTTTCTAATCAAAACTTACAAAAATACCATATGAACTAAATTTTTAAAAGGTATAAATGATACTTGTTAACTTTTCAAAAATATGTTAAATACAATATAATCAGTTGATTTACTGGCCAAAAAACAAATGAAAATATATAAGAAATATATGAACATTAACTCGGAATTTAATGTTTTAATATTTCTCACATTCACTATTTTAACGTTATTTATACATACAGGTACTCTATCAAATAAATATCAAGCAAATAGGTATACTTATTGCTTAAAATTAATATATTACTCTATTACACTGGTATGTATATTTATCTATACATTTTGGTTCTGAAAAAATGGTTAAATATAAATAGTATATCATGTCATTCGAAATTGTATAGAAAAAATACTCTTACTTCTCTTTGGGTTCAAATAAACTATATGTGTGTTAATCAAGCTTAGCATTTTTGACTATTAGTACCATCTTCTGACTACTTGAATTATATTTAAAAAAATCACAATGTGAAATTTGTTGAATACAGTGGTTCTGAATAAAAATAAGGTACAGCTTATAAAGAGACAACTTACATTTACATTATCATAAATAACAAACTTAGAAAAACCTAACCTAGCCATAGACGTTAAGAAAAAAAGCTTAACTAATTTGAACAGCTGCTTCCAGAGCCTTCAATGATCTTAATTTCTTCGCAATAACCATTCCCAAGTCCTGAGAAGGATTTTTCCCTGGACTCATGATAAGCCTCCTCCGTAATTTGGGGTTTATTTCACACTTTTGAGGTACAGGTTCTGGTGTTCTTTCCCTTGGAGGGGCTAAAATTCTTGTTCTGTCGTAATCAACAGGTGACCAAGTTATCGGTTTTCTTCTTGGGCCTCTCTGGATAATAACCATTTCATCAGGGTTTGTTGACTTGTGAGGTGTATTATTTTGTGATCTAGCAATTTCGTTTATTTCAGAAAGGGCTAACCTTAACGACCTCCTTGGTAAATTGTTTTCCTCTTCGTTGGCGTCAACGTCCTCCATGTTCAACAAGGGTGGTTAAAACCGTTGCAACCCCTAGAAACTTTTTGAATGTAGATAAATATTACACAGCACACAACACCAACAGCAATCCTTATACTAAAAATGTCGATACAATCTTCATTCAACACACAAAACACTTTTTAATGCGCGAACTAACACTAATATTACCACCCGGGCACCCGCTTACGCGATTTCCCGCTAACGGAAAATGAGGGCAAAATATTTAAGACCCCCACCACGTCACAGTTTAAAAGTAGTGTTCCTTTCCTTTAACAGCTGATCAACAGGTGTTTCATGTTTATTTATGTTTTCTTGTTGCTTTAAATGTGCCGTCACTGCTGTCTTGTTTACTGTAATATTACTTTCGTATTTCCTTTGTAAATACTAAATATTTCAAAACACTTATTTTCTTGATTGGGCCGCGGCAAGACAATCTTCACAGTTACATACTGTGTATTATACTTCAGCATACCAAAAGTTGCCTTTGTGATCTATATTTATTTTGTAGTAATTTACTAACATTTATAAATCAGAGACCTTTATCAATTCTATCAACTGCATACAGTTGTAATATATACATGGGCGTAGGTAGGATTTTTCCTTGGGGTGAACCTTAATAAGATTCAAGCTGATGACCGGCTAGTCGGACCAGAAAGATTATATTATTGGATTTTTTTTCTGGGGTGGATACAACGATAAACGTTTTTGATTGATACTGTTTTCTTATAATTTTCATAGATCATTACAGACTCCTAACTTTTTAATTTTTTTGGGCAACTTTGTGCTATAATTAGAAACATTATTAATATATCTGTGGAAAAATTGTGTATATTCAAATCAGATTTATTAATTATTCTTACAAAATGATGTATGTTTATTATAACGAGATTGAAAATGACTATCTGAAACTGTGAAAAACTGAAAAATATGTCATCTATATGAAAAGATTATCAGATATCAAAATCGTAAAAGGTTTATAAAAAATCTGTCAGATGCAAGACACTAATTTATGTAATATGTACATAAAATATTTAGTTCAAATATTTAAACAAAAATGTTTACATAAAAATAAAATTATCTCCTTTTATTTGTAAAGTAACTTCATTAAAACAGCAGTCTGTGAAACCAACACACTTTAATCGTAAAAAATATTTTAAGGATGTTAGGTAATATTTTTCCATAAGCTCACAGTACAAAAAATATAAGCTTATAGGTACATCTTTCTAAAAAACACAAACAAAATGATACTTAAATTTAGATATTACATTATCTCTATACATTAAATTAAGAAAACATTAAAATCACACTGTCACTGGCTGCGAACATTCAAGACAAATCAACTTGGGTCAGTAAAATGGAAGAATTAAGATCCTACAAATGCAGAAGGATATAAAAGTGAAGACCTCTTCCTTTTTGATCAGTGTTTTGTGGCTCGCAATACTGCTCCATTTTCTTTTTTCTAATTAACCGTCAATTATTACAAATAGTGCATTTATTTTTAAATAGTGGACAGCAATGTAAATTTATTTTTATTTATATGTGCAATCCCACTAATCAATTACCATTTGCAAAATAAAGGATTGTTTTATACCAACATTACTTAAGTACAACTTTACTATTATTGTGATTTATATCTTTTATGACAACACTACTGAAAATATTTCTTCACTTTTACTGTTCAGAACTACAAAGTATAAAAATTATACAATTCTATTAACAGCTAAAACATGTGTGCTTCATTTTTTGAAGTTGAAGTTACATCATTTACTTTTCATATATTTACATATGTTACGAACATTACTTTTCTGTTCTTGCACCAGAGAAATCACTCCAAATAAATGTCATCGGAATGTAACTGCTATAACAATAATAACTGTCTTTTGAACGCAACCATTGAATTAATTTAAGTTACATATTTTAATTCATAAATCAAGAATTTCTTCCTCTTCTCCTCCAATTGCTTTCCAAAATGCAGTAACCATTTGCTCAGCACATTGAGTTCTTTGGCTCAGAGGCATGCTTTGAAGACTTTCCTTCATCATATGTAGTTGAGAAAATAATTCCGTAAAATCATCTGCAGCATCGGATGTTAGAAAATTATCAACATTTACTCCAATATTACTGCTACTTTGTTCCGTTTTATTGCTTAATTTGATAGGACAATCTCTGCTTCTATTTTTATTTTTCATCACCAAATTTGACCAGGTATGTGTATGTAAAGCTTCAATAATTCGGTCTACTCCAAATTTTTCTTTTATAATTTCCTCTTCTTGCTCGTGACTGTTTATTGTGGGATATAGTTCTACAAATTCAAAACCCCTCTTTAAGCACCATTCAGCAGCTTTACTTTTTGTTACTTTTGTATCTTCAGTACAGTAATTTGATACTAATAACTTTACTTCTAAATTGCAGTCTTTTTCCAAACTCTCCCACTTAATTATGTCATCAAGTCCTGATGATTTATTTGAATCCATGTGAATAATCAAAGCCTCCACATTTTTGTTAAATTCTTCCGTTCTAATATAATCTTTTTCCAATCCAACAATTTGTACTTCTGCAGTGTAATATTTTGTGTCGATTAACCAGGGTTGTAAAATTAAATTTTTATTTTCAGGATTCTCAGTTGTGTTACCTTTGGTTATTAATTTGATAAGTGATTTAGGTTTCGTGCTACTGCAACTAACAACTACTACACTAGGTACATTATTCATTTTAATATAGTTATAGTATTTTCACAACTTTTACTTAATTTTACTCAGATAAATATGTCTATAGACTAAAAATTAGTAAGACGACAAATAATGACAGATGACATGATGATAGAAGATAGACATAAAAAATTGAGAAATACCCTGGAAATACCTTAGAAAAAAAAATTATAGACTCTTGAGGCGTTTTCCCTCCCTCGTGATTAGAGGGAGCTTTCGATTTGGCAAAAATAGTACCTATTAGGCTATTAGCAACTAATATCAGTTCAGAGTAACTCTAATGTTTGCCAAATCGAACGGCCCTTTGTTTCATTATGCGTTGAGTATAAAAAATAAACTAAGGATTAATTTGTTATCTTAGGTTTAAACAAATTATTATACAGAATGACAGAAACTATTACTGGAATAAAAGAGCATGCAGTTTTGAGTGTGTTGAACATTTAACCTTCGAGCAGATACTATTGGAGGTAGCATCATTGCGAAAAGTGTTGCTGNTTGTGTTTTTGTGTTTTTAGCTTTGGGGTACTGAGGGCACCCCATATAGCTGGCGGGGTGTGGCCCGGCGCAATTTGCACACCTGGCGGGCGTGTCTTTGGCCTTTTTGCATACGTGACTATTGGAGGTAGCATCATTGCGAAAAGTGTTGCTGAGTGTGCGAGAGAGACAGTAAATGCTGCCTCATTCTTCGCTTCAACGACGGGAGCCAATGAGCGCGAACATTCATTTCCAACCAATCGCGTGCGTGCTATCTCCCTCGCACACGCAGCCACACTTTTCGCAATGATATGCTACCTCCAGTAGTATATGCTCGAAGGTTTGAACTAATAGCTGTTTTCCAATTCTACTCCAAACTTAAACAATTAGAACGCCTGGGCATTTAACACAAGCATGTAAATATTTTCCATGTACATATTTTTATTATTGTATGCTAAAATTGTCTCTATACAACATATTCAGATATCCTAACCTCACACTTTGAGGGAGCAAACTCTTGTGCGTGAGGAAGCTGGAGAAAACATGTATGAATAGTCTGGTAGTAAAATGTTCTACCTTATTGGAAGGCAAAGGGATAATTTGAGGGAGAGAATATTTCAAGCAACGTTTGAGGTATCTCAAAGTACCTATATGTTTGTCAATTGGAAAACAACTATTTAAAGTTAGCTGCATAAACGACGAGTTTTAAATTCAGCCATAGAAAATAAGCATCCATCAAATTATCCCTTTCCCTTTAGTAGGAGAGGAGTTTAAAATTTTACTGACGCACAATTTCCACTAATAAATTTAAAAACTCGCTTAAAGGCTCAAAGCAACTGATTATACCGAGAGATCCAGAATGATTGAAGCGTTTGGGGAACGCAGCCTGTTTCTAACAACATCTTTAGCACATAAAAATCTGTAGTAGAAGAAGAAGAAGATCTTGGTAAAAGTTCTTAATCTAGGGACTTTAGATTTTGCTATTGGCCACACTGTTGTTACTGTCACAGTTGTCGCTAGGAGGAGAACAACAAATTTTGACGTATGTAAAATAAATACCTTCTTTATTGGAGTTATTTTTATGACATGCAAATAAATTTGTACAATGCATTATTTGAAAGAATTTGAATGCTATTTAAATACTTAAATGCATGCATATTAGTCTATTTCGAAGAGACGTTTTACTCCAAAATGTTTGAAAAGGCAAGTTAAAGAAAGTTTCCTATATACCCAGGTATATTTTGTAATACTTTAATTTGTTTTAGATCTGAAATAAATTGCAACAATGGAATTAAAGGTTTGGGTGGAAGGAATACAACGAATAGTTTGTGGGGTAACAGAGGCAACAACTTGTCAAGTATTATTTTTACCATGTTCTCTTAACATTTTTTTTTATCAATTTCATTTTAGGATGTAGTTTTTGCTTTAGCCCATGCTACTGGGAAATCTGGGAGATTTACCCTTATAGAGCGGTGGAGAAATAACGAAAGACAACTTTCCCCTAATGAAAATCCAATGAAGGTTTGCTGAGGATTTTTATATAATTGATGCAATTACTAATAAATTACTTTTTAGATAATAATGAAATGGGGTGAATATTCCAGTGATGTCCAATTTATATTACAGTGGAATGAAAGTAATAAAGGTGGACAGAACCCAAAACCTAGATCGTCTAATTCTAACACCCCATCACATATGTCAAATAATTTTAATTCTGAATCTCCAGAGAGGCTTCGGGAGCTTCATAAATCATTAACATTTAGGTAAATTTCTATGTTTGATTAGTACTGAACAAGAAATATTTAAAAGGAACAAATATTGACTATAAAATATTGTCAAACAATAATTTTTTGAATGTAGGTCATAGCAAATATTTTATAATGTTAATGCATAACATTTTGAAAATTGATGGCAAATATCTGAATCTTTAAATTTATTAATGTCAAATGTAGGTGATACTAAATATTTTATACGGTTAACATAAGGTTTTGAAAATTGGTAGGAAATACTTAAATCTTAAAATCCATGATCATTATTTTTACCAAGGTAAAAGTAATGTTTAATCAAATTTATCTGATCTATTTTATCAGAAGAATTATCTGTCTTGAACAATGGTTGAACAAAAATTAGATATTTCGATTATTTTAAAAATGAAGATTCACCTTTCAGTAAAAACACTATTTTAAATTAAATATGTAAAATTTAATGAGTTTTAGTCCAAAAACAATGTCTTCGAATTAAAAATTTTGTCGTTTTCAGCGGCAGCCACGTTCCACCCCCTGAGAATATTGGTGTGGTGAAGGGGGTACAACAAATCAAACCCGTATCATTAGAAGTTAGAGAATCATATTCCAACTCACCACACAGTTCTCCCAAAAAGAGCAGTTGCTGTGGTTCAGATTTGTCTGATTCTCCTAGTCAGCGCATCGCTCCGCCATACAAGGATCCCCCTGCACCCCCTCCGTATCGCGATCCACCACCACCTACCTCATCTGTATACCACGACAAATATAAAAAAAATCTACTTCAGGTATATCTTTTACACAGGGCAGCAGTGATTTATTAAAATCCGGCAATATTTTAAAACTTATGTTTATCCAACCTTGTTAATTCTATATCTTCATATTCTATTTCCTGTTAGAATTTTCATGCTATACCTGTAAATTACCGTGGTCGCTGTTTAGGAAGGGCAGTTTCTCCCTCTATTGCCCATAACTTTTACAGTTCTTGGAAAATATCAAAATAACATTTACACATGATATTCTTCATATTCCAATTTTGGATAATTTTTTTTTTGGAAAAAATTGGTTTTTGTAAAAAAATTCATAACAGTTACATATTATATAAAATTATATTGACAAAACCTTTTTTTTTACTTTACCTTTAATCTGCGATTCCTGAATCATACTGTAGGCATTGGCAGCATTTTCTGAAGCGATCCATGAATATCTTCACTTAATTCTCCCTTCAAGGATCACGTTATGAATTTTGACTTCGGTGGCTCGTACGTGTTCCGTATCTTCGATCTCACAACGCTGAATAGCGTTTCTTCCTACTTTGGTGCCTAATGTGTTCTGGTAAATTGCCCATAACTTTCACAATTATTGGAATTTTAATATGAACCAAGGAGCGGCGTCAGTCCTTGCAGTCAGTGCAGTCATGTTATAATTAACGAAGTTCTACAATTAGTAGAAAAAAATCTTTTGTTGAGTATCCAAGAAATTATTCCTTTTTTTACAACGCAGGCTTTTAATAAATCCTTGGGCAGGGCTATACAATAACATTAATAGGATGATATCGTCTACCGTCATTTTATCGACTCTTCAATGTAATCGGCAAACCTTAATTAAACATTTTCTCATCTATTCATTTTATTTTTGCCCTATTTAAATAAATCACCCTGTATATTCAGTTAATAAGAAAATTATAGAAGACATTAAATAGTAGAATATATAAATTACCCTCAGAACTTTTTTTGTACATTATGTAAAATATTTTTAGGAATCTAATAAGGTGCATAAGGACAAAGAAGATAGTAGGAATAAACTACATGAAAGTGTTTTATATAATGCTCAGTACAGAGAACTCATCGCTTTGATCAATTATCAAAGAGAAAAATTGTCAAATCAGCAAACCGATCTTACAAAAGTAAGGAACTCATGAAAGCTCGTCATATTAATAATTAATATAATTTTTTCTAGGTTGACGCAGAAATTGTATTTCTTGAAGGAAAAGAAAGAGAAAAACAGCTGCAGTTAGACTTCATTGCTCAAGAACTTATAACGATTTCAAACGCGAGTAAAAATAACCTGGAACAAGTAAGATCTTTCGCTGCATCTGCCATAAGTTGTTAACTTTTTCATTTCAGATACAGGCGTTAAGCTACGTGGAAGAAGAAAGCGAGATAGTAAAGCAGCAGGAAAAAACCTTGCAGTCCGAAATAACTCTGCTTAGATCAAAATTAGCGAATTGCGAAACTGAACTGTTGCAATGCAAGAATAAGATAAGGTAATTACAACCGCACCACCGTGAAATATTCTTTTTTAATAGTGCTCTTACCGTCAATGTACACTCAACGCAAGATAAAGGTTCCCAACCTAAAAGGCATACTTCTTTTAAAGAGGCGAGCTGGTGCACTATTAATAGGAACATTGGGAGGCATCAATAATAAGAGGCGTGTCATATTTTTTTTTTGTGTACGCACGTGTGTAGCAACACATAACAAAAAATTGCAGGCCTGAAGTATATGCATTATAAAAAGAGAAGAGCATACAGGTTTTGAAAATATTTTGTCTTGCCACATTATTTTTCTTGTCCCTGAGAAAATTAATATTTTGAAAAAAGAATTTGTGTCATATTCTGCAGAAAGTAGTAGGTAGGTCGTGAAGGCAACAAAATAAAAAAATATTGTAAACTACAGTTTTATTATAACTTATACAGTTTCGGGAGAAAAGGGAAATATTTAAGGACGTGTTCTGGAAGTGAAAATAAGTAAATAAGTTCATGACATTATGGGTCCGGAAATGTTTAATTTCCGAAAGAAATTTAAAATCTTTTTTTTCTAAATATCTCGGAAACGATTTAAGATATTATAGTACCACTGTACTATACACCAAAGCTCAGTGTAATATCTTAAATCGCTTTCGTAATATTTAGAAAAACAGGTTTTTTTTAATTTTACATCTATCAGAAAGGAAGCATTTCCGGGCCCATAATGTTATGAACTTATTTACTTATTTTGACATCATTTTATAAACAATGAAAAAACAAAACAGTCTAATAATATGTCCAACCACCGAAATAACGGCCGAATCAATAACGGCTTGTAATCTGTTTGACATAGATGTAACATGGCGTCGTATATAATTCACATTCCAAATATTTTGTATACGTTCCCAGAGCGTATCTCTATTTGGTGGAATATCGTCATACTGTTCGTTCAACTGACGCATTACATAAGCCCATAAATGTTTTTTTTATAAGAAATAATTTCCATTTTGTTTCATTCCAAAATATTGATTAGAACCCGAGGTGTCACGGAAATATTATTTTTGGGGGGTGAACATGAGGGTTAGTTTGCATCCGTTTAAATCCGTTTTAAGAAAAAATATTAGTCCTTATTAATATGTATTTACCTTTTTGAGATTAACAATGGATATTGAGCATATAACAATTTAAAGAAACACACGTTTACTGACGCACGCGCATTGACAATAGTGAACGAAATAATCTATCTTTGTCATAAGCATACGAGTTATCCACAACTTCGGTACCATGAGTGGGACAAAGCGAACGTGATTTTTTTATCTTTGTCCTGGCAGTGTCGTAGGAGCTAAATAAAATTCAAAATATAAAAAGGTAAATAAAGAGTAACCGCAAAAAAAAACATTTTTTCGCCCGTTTTTGCATAGTGTGTAGCAAGAACGGGGAAGGTCGTCCAGAGGTCTCCCTGGGCTTAAATTGGTCATCATGAAAAATCTAGGTGAGCATAATTCGATTTTTCGAATATTTGTCCGACTTACCCCTACTTAAGGGGTGGAAACCACCCCTAAAACAAGAAACGTGAAAAAATGGTCAATCAATTCTTGATAAAAATTGGCGGGAGTTTGAATGGCAAGGAAGAGATCATGGATATTCTTCCAAATATGCTCAAGGTGAAAAACATCCCCCGCGTGGGGGTAAAACCACCCCTATTGCCAAAACCGGCGGCAAATGATGTTCCCTTCATGAATTGCCTTTTTTGTGCCACTCTTCCTTATAAATCCAAATGATATGAAATACATGCCCCCATAATTCGTTCTTCTGTTGGATTCTGATCAGTTACCCCTACTGAAGGGATGGAAACCACCCCTAAAACAAGAAAACAGAAAAAATGGTCACCAAAATCTGGGTAAAAATTGGCGGAATTCCACACGGCAAGGGTACCATCAAGAATGCCCTCCTAAAAATGCTCAAGGTGAAAAACACCCCCCGCGTGGGGGTAAAACCACCCCTATTGCCGATAGCAGACGGGGAATGATATCCACTTCATGAAGTACTTTGTTTCCCCCACTACCCGACAAATGATACGAAAGACGGGCCCCATAATTCGATCTTTTGTTTTACACCCACGCGGGGGGTTGGTTTATCATGAGCATTTTTAGAAGGACATTCTTGATCTTACCCTTGCCATGTGAAATTCCCCCAATTTTACCAAGAATTTATCGACTATTTTCTCATTTTTCTTGTTTTAGGGGTGGTTTCCACCCTTTAAGTAGGGGTAAGTCGGGCAAATATTGGAAAAATCGAATTATGCTCACCAAGATTTTTCATGACGATCAATTTAAGCCCACGGAGACCTCTGTACAACCTTCCCCGTTCTTGCTACACACTACGCAAAAACGGGCGGATTTTCGAATAGTATAGAAAAAAAATTGTTTTAATTTTGTTACATTTTTTTTATATCATTAAAATTAACAATTAAAAATTTGAAATTGTTATAACTTTCTTATTAAATATTAAAAATTATATCTATTTCTCTGAAAAGTTACATTTTTTAGAGTAGATTGAAAAAAAAATACAAAATTCATTAATTTTTCCGCTTGTTATGATTTTTTTAAATTTCTGAAATCTTCCCTTAACCTCCAGCCTCCCTAACTCTGTTAATTTTAATAGTACAAGAAAAAAAACATTTTTATGTAGAATTGTATGCTTTACAACTTTTATAAGAAACTTCAACTGATTTCATTGCAGGCACCTATACAGTGTTCATTAATGGCATACAGAAAAAAACAGAGGCCCATTATGTAGCTAAAATTAAGTAAATTTTGTTACATACACGTAGGCTCTTAAGGCCGCCCCTCGCCGTTTCCGAGCTGCAGGGTTTTCAAAATTAAAAAAAAAATTAAAATTTTTAATTTTCTTAAATCCATTCAATCTAACTATTCGTAAGTAGGTAGTAGACGTTTCGCAAGATTTATTAACTAGGATGAATTGATTTTTCTATTGTAATGTAAATGCAACTCTTTCAATAGAAACAAGATAATAAAAAATGCATACAGGGTCTGCTATAAGAGTTTGCCGATTAGTTCCATTTTGAAAATGCCAATCTACCAAGAAAGCATTTTTGTACAAAACTCGTAAAATGTCAGATGTGACGGTAAAATATTGCCACACGAACACCCCATATAGACAAGCGGTTAAGCCGTCATATTACAAACAAAATACGATTCAGATTGGAAACCTTTATCTTGCGTCGAGTGTACAACTCAAAGTCAAATTACTTGTGTGACCGCTGTAGTGATATCTAATTTCTGATACTACGAAATACCGAACAGTTTTATATTATTATTATTTTAGGTTACTCATGGACGAGTTGCATATAGAGCAAAGATCACAAAGTAGGAGGATGGAGTCCCGAAAACAGCTAGAAAGAAACTTGCTGGCTGAAGTTGAGAGACTTCAGAAAGATATAGAATTAGCTAAGCAAAGTACCGATTTGCATCATCTTACAGCTGAAACGCTTAAACGAGAGGTGCATATTTAAAATTTTATTTATTCATTTCTTTATTATTTGTACAGGGTGTAATTTTTTCCTTTTAGGGTATCTTATTTTTTTTCAGATCATGTTCAATTTCTGTTCTGTTGTTGAATAATGTGTTAAGAAAAAAACGCATTGATCACAGATTCTTTGGGTGAAAATAATACAACTTTCCATTTGCCATTCTTTATTTAGGCGCTGCTTTTCAAGACGCCATCTCTGAAAATTGTAATTAAAAAAAAACTAATTTACAAAATTTTGACTAAACCTTAACAAATCGTACCTATATCTTGATAAAATTGCCTTAATGCAAAAAAAGCATAAGTTCTACTATTTACACCCAAAAGAATTTGTAGTTAACAGCTCGACATACTTTTCTGTAATATCCCGTATAAATCGGTACTGATTTCGACGTTCATAGGTAGCCTCGTTGGAAACAGCCATAATGGAAAAGAAAAAGCAAGTGGAACACCTAGTTGCCGAGATGAAGGAGGCAAATCTTCAAAGTTTGAGCATAGTGCCCCCAGAAGACATAAGGCAAATCATAGAGGGTCCGACAAAAGCGGGAAGCACTAGAAAAATGATAGGGTCTCCGAGACAGCTCGAGAATGCCGTACCAACTAATAAAAACCCGCACGGTGTCTGGGTTTAGGTAATTTAGTCAATATTGCGTATATTTGGATAGACTGCGAACCAATTGCCCATATTTATGACGGTGTGTCGTAGAATACGTTTAACGTGTGACGTTGTTACAGTAGCTGCTAGATCAATATTAATAGTTAAGAATTTTACTCGAGTAAATGAACTTGTATCGTTAATGATGCAATTGTAGTGATGCGTGTGACTTGTAAAGGAGTTCTAAAAGTTCTCGATGCGACAGAAAGCTCAGTAGCTGTATAGAGTGGCCACTTTAATAATGATAAATCAAGTTAAGGGAGTCAAAAATTGATCCAGAGAATTTTAATAAAATAATTACATAATTTTTTAAATTTCTTCCACAGGGTGTCCCAATTTATACACGCCAATTATCAAAATAATGTAATTTTTTTTTCATATAAAAAATATAAAAAATTAAGCAACACTAACACAATTTCTTGAATCTAAAGTAATGAATCAATGACGATGCACTGATAGTGTCAGTTAATTATGTAAAATTTTAACACCGCATGAGGACTATTTAATCTTTACCTCATAAAATTTTTATAATTGCATCATAATCTTAAGTAATATCCAAGACTGATATATTTGGTGAGCAAATTGAATAGTGTACTTTAAAAATATTTTATTGAAATTTTGATGGAAATGTGTTTTTCATTGATGAATTTAAAAATTTGCTTTATATTACGTTCTGTACTATATGTTGGGATACCCTGTATATTGGGGTGGCCCAAAAAGAACGAATATATTTTTTTTCGTGTCTCTTGTGAAAATATGTTAGTTTATCATGTTTTAAGAGCCCCTCAAAAAATTTTTTTTAGAGGTCGCTCAAGATTTTTAAAAATTTCCAAAATCAAAAATTTTTTTTTTTTAATTTTTTTCTCGTTATTTTATCATATTCTAGGTTGAAAAAAATCTCGGTTCTGAAAATTTCAAATCGATATTTTAGTTCTAAATGTCACTCATAATTATTTTAACTTTAAAAGTACTGTACTTAAAATGTTTTCGAGCGACCTCTAAAAATAAATATCAACGAACTAATTATTTTTTTTATTGAATTTGATGAACAAAAGAATAGAAATAAATCAAGATACTTAAAAAATTTCTCGAGGCAAAATTTACTACCGCACTGAGTATCAAATATTTATCATTTTTTAAAATTTAAGTTTTTGAAAGTTAAAATAATTACGAGTGACCTTTAGAAGTTAAAATATCGATTTGAAATTTTCAGAATTGAGATTTTTTCAACCTAGAAAATGAAAAATAACAAGAAAAAAAATTTTAAAAAAATTCTATTTTTGGCAATTTTGGAAATTTTTGAAAATCTTAAACGACCTCTAAAAAAATTTTTTTGAGCTGATTTTTTAAGAGGGAGATCATAAAACATGATAAACTAATATATTTTCACAAGACATGAAAAAAAAGTTTTGGTTTTTTTTGGGCCACCTACTGTATACATTTCCATTTCCATCTGATACAGCGACTCAAAAGTGGCCATTTAAATGTACTCGTGTGATAGTAAATTTTAATAATTGAAAAANCGAGGCAAAATTTACTACCGCACTGAGTATCAAATATTTATCATTTTTTAAAATTTAAGTTTTTGAAAGTTAAAATAATTACAAGTGACCTTTACAAGTTAAAATATCGATTTGAAATTTTCAGAATCGAGATTTTTTCAACCTAGAAAATGAAAAATAACAGGAAAAAAAATTTTAAAAAAATTCAATTTTTGGCGATTTTGGAAATTTTTGAAAATCTTGAACGACTTCTAAAAAAATTTTTTTGAGCTGATTTTTTAAGAGGGCTCATAAAACATGATAAACTAACATATTTTCACAAGACACGAAAAAAAAGTTTTGGTTTTTTTTGGGTCACCCTACTGTATACATTTCCATTTCCATCTGATACAGCGACTCAAAAGTGGCCATTTAAATGTACTCGTGTGATAGTAAATTTCAATAATTGAAAAAGAAGAATAATTGTAGAAAAATATTCCTAACTGACGAATCGTGCTACATAAAACTTTTAATATTGTTTCTAAAATTTATTTGTAATTTGAACAATTATTTCTATTATAAGTTGAAATTAGTAGAATTAGTACATTGGATATGTTCTAAATTATGTACCAATTTACCTTTTATAATTTCAACTTTGCTCATATAATTTGCAGTTTGAATTTATGAGAAAAATAATTAAAATTGAAATATTTGCACTGTCAATTTTGACAATTGAATTACTCGATATCATCAGAAGTTAAAAAGTAGAGCATTGTGTTGAATAATAGTGTTTTTTTTTGTGTGAAAAGTAGGAGCCATAGAAAGTTAAAAACAAGTTATTTAATTGATTAGAAAAAATATTTGGTAAGTGAAAGTTTTATAATGATAATTGACGATAAACTAAAGGTTCTTGCAAAAGAGGGACAAAAAATTTAAATTCAATTGTGTCGCAGAACAAACAATACCATTTTTAGATTGTAGTTTTACTATGGGAAAGGCAAATGAAGATCTATTTTCCTTCTCGTAATTATAAACCTTGTTATAAGCAAGGGCAGAAAGGAATAAGAGAAATATTGACAGGCGTTATCAACGATTTTGTTCAAAATTTTGAGATGTACTGAATTCAATATTTGTTTATTCTATTTATAACAACAGTTATAATTTTACAGACGAGCGGAACATAGATTTTTACATAATTTAAAAATGAATTGATCGCCGCGTTAAGCGCAAATTATAAAAATTAAAACCTCATTAATTTATATTTCCTTTAATTTTTTATCATCATCTCAGATCTTTTTCTCTTCTTTCAATACCTATTTGTGGTTCAAAATTGTTTTCTTCATTTCACACTTTAAACAGTGATTTGACTACTTATTTTTATGAGGGGTCGTCTGCTAGCCAAAAATGTATGCCTGTCATGATTCAAACTCAATTAAATAATTAATAAATTCCAGTAATCTTTAGTTTAGTCCTTTTTTTTATAAAATTAGGGAAATCAAGAGTTTATTAATTACAATCTGTCTATTTATTTCGCTTTTGCTAATGTAGCAGATGTAACGACACTGTTAACATATTTGGCTAAGATTTAGAGTTTACCTTTATGTCCTTTTATTTTCTGATTTCCTGAAATTCTCTAATATCAGAGTTGAATGTTTCAGCTTTAAAATTCAATGATATAAAAAAATTAGGTTTCTGTCATTTAATATTTTCACTTTTTTACTTCGAAATTTGACTTAGTTCACCCTCTAAGCCTAAGGTCACAGTATTCCAAAATAAAAAGTGTTGAAGTTTGTGTTTCATCAGGACTTGAAAATATTGAATGATTTATATAAATTATTTAAAAACTTCGATAAACTCTGAAAAGTGATTTATACAGGGTGATTCACAAATGGTGACCAAAAATAAAACCGTGAATTCTTTGGTGAATTTTAAGGGGAGTCTCCATAAAGTTTTTATCTAGGACGCCTTATTAAAAAGATCTTATGTTTTTCGAAAAACACCTGATTTTCAAGTAAAACTTAAAAAACCTTTAATGATTTTATTAGAGTAAATGTTCAAAACTCCCTCCATTTCCACGAACACTGACCCGATATCTTTTTAATAACGAAAACATAATCTATTTGAAATTTATTATTGCTTGAATCTGATGAAAAGCATTATTTATTCAGAATGTCAAAGTTGCTATCGCAGCCCACTATGTAATTTTAAAAAGCATTATATTCGAATATCGAAGTGTGTTCTCAGTTCATTTTTTAAGTTTTACTCGAAGATCAGGCTTTTTCCGAAAAACATAACAGAGTAGTAATTTGTAGAAAATTGAAAGACGAAACCGAAAATATCATGGTTATTACAGTAAAGGAGTAGCATACTATTTTATTTAGAAAAATGTGCCACCCATATCCTGTATCTCTGCCACTGTAGTATGTAAATTTTAGGAAAAGCCCTCAGATTTTGAACAATGTTTACATAAATACATGTGCCCAATTTCAAATTATTTCACTTACTAGTTTTTAAATTATTTAAAAAAATTAAAAATATTTTTTGAAGTTTAACACCTTGTATCTTTTTAACGAAGCGTCCTAGATAAAAAATTTATAGGAAAGACTCCCCTTAAAGAATACGAGGTTGCATTTTTGGTTACCATTTGTGAATCACCGTGTATAGCGTGTCTGGTTTTTCGTGTCGACACTCCCTTAAATAGAAGTAGGTGGTGGAATCAAGTGGGACTATTTTTTAAAGGTTGGGCCCTGAAAGCTCTTCCTTTACCAACTATTGATTTCTCATTACCACAAATGCACAGCCTTGATTTTTTATGGGTGCATTTTTTCATAATACGTCTGGGATTTTTTTAACGCCGTTGGATTATTCTGCATCCCTCACAACAACGGTGTATCAAATTTGTAGGAAACATATCTATTGGTTATTTTTCTACATGCCGATAAACTTAAAAAAACGCAATATTAAATGTAGGACGCCATGAAATCAAAAACAGTTGACTGAAGTAACGAAAAAGTATTTAACTCAGTAGTTTAAAAGTACAACAAACAAGTTAGATATAAGAACTACAAATAATGATTCACAACATTAACAACATAACGTTTTTTTTTAATGATGTGTAACTATTTTTCATTTAATAACGCCATAGGGGGGACTCTGGTCTAAGGTGTTCTGTTGTTGATTTCAAGATGTGCACCACGAAGCTCTATTTCACTCAGCCCAATTTGGTACAAAACTATTTTAAGCGATATAGAATAGTCCTGTGGAGTTATCATTTTATAAAAATTACTGTCGTGTTTTTCTGAAAAATGTACCAATATAAAAAGCACATCACGCCCGGCATTCGTACAATTGAAATCTAATAGTCAAATGATGATCTTTCAGCGCCTTATCCATAAAAAAATAGTTCCACTTGATTCTGTCAGCCTACTTGTATTTAAGGAGATATTAACCTGAAAGCCAGACACACTGTATATATCTGGTTAGATAAATTCAATTTTATATAATTTATAGATGTGACATTTAACTTCTGAGTGCCAAACCACTGATTACTGACATTGTAAATATTTTATATTGTCATTTAATTCAAGGTAATGCATATTAAATGCAAGGTAGTATAGTATAATGCAAAGTAATGTAGCTCAATGCGATGTAGTGCAGACCGATATGTACCAGTAGTGTATTTAGCGGATGACCCTTTATATTTTCAAATATTTCTCCCTTTGAATATTTTCGTTTGAGTTATAAATATCTTTTGTAGTACAGGGACTTATATTTACCTGCACAATTTTCTCTGTAAACTCCAATATCAAAAAGCATGTTTAATATGTGGTGTTACTTGTTTAAGTGATCTTATTTGATAGTAATAAATATACATGAAAAATTAAAGTATATCTACCCTTAAATATGTTTTTTAAAATTTATTCTTCTTTGTTACAGATTTTTTTAGGAAACAATAATACTTTGCTAATGGTTTTACTAGTGTGTACATATTATATCACTTATCTTTATTTATATCCGTTTTTAAGTCTGATAGTTTATAATTACATATTATATATATATATGCGCCATGTTTCTAGGTTAAGTAAATTATAAAGATGTTATTTATTGTTAGGTGATTGGATGTTTTAATTTAGAATGTTTGTTATCTCTATCGTAAGATTATAATAGAAAAGATTTTATTTTCTTTCTTGATAACCTTATTTATGCACTTCTTTTCTTATTCTTTAAGTACACTGCCATATTTTTTTTGTATGACATATCTTGAAATTGTAAATTATACATCACTAAACCATCACACTTAACTATTGTTTTCTTTGAAACTCGACGAATCATATCGACCACTGGGAATTGGATTTAATTATATTTCCGTCTCCACAGGGTACCCAGTAAGTGTCTACTAATCTCTTGGGAGCATATAGGTGAGGTCAAAATGACACTAGGACGTCTATAATTTTTTTCTTAATATTCCTCCTAACGGAGATATCGGACTCTTTACTTTTTGGGTTCTGACTTTGAAATCACCTTGTATATTTCGATAAAGCTTTGCCCCATGATTTAATGTCAAAATTGGTCTTTTACTATTTTAAAGTGTCCAGAAACGAATACATATATTTTTCTGAAAATTTTGTCGTTATCAAATTGTAAATTCTAACCAGTGTTGCAAGAAACTACACCGTGGCTCATCATCAGTTTAACCCACCAGGCACAGACCGGTTTCGGACTTATTAGTCCTCATCAGTGTGCCATAGGTAGGACAACCGACGAACAATCCAGCTGCTATAATGTCGTATACTCCCGACAAGAGGTACATAGTTCGCGTACTCATATTGTAAATATTTTTAGATATTCTGAAGATTTTTATTTAAAAAACACTTGATTTATTTTGATAAAATAGAGTTTTCAACATAAATCAGTATTTGAAACGGGCGGGAACTAGAATTTATTTTTTTGTAAATCATTTTGAGCGCATAGTTAATTTAACTTTGCCAAGTCTAAAACATTTTGAAAGTGTTGGTTATAGCTTAACTTAACTAGAAATGAAAACTGTTTTATTTGTGAGTGAACAATTATTTGTCCACGAGGTAGGTGTGAAACCAGTTCACAAAGGCATTTATTCCATATCAAGCTGGGAATACTATTTCTTCTACTCGTATATATTTTTATGTTCTATTTAACTCAAAGTCAACTATAATACAACTATCATTTTGTTAGTTATTTCCACATAGTAACACATATATTTCATTCAAAATTGTCGCTGACAACTAGGTGACATTACATAATACTTAAAATGACAGTAATGACATCTGTCGAGTAAAACGTTTTTATTGGTTCAAATCCTTCGCGCTCATATACGAAATTACTGCCCTCTTTGGGCCTACAGCCTAAAGATGTTATATTAGTACAGAAATCTGTAACAGAGAATTGTGCAAGTTCCTCTCTCCTACAGTAGATGACACCGCCAAATTTGCAACATAAACACCTATGTTGAGAAATTGAGAAGTTTAGTATTGATATAATGATTAACTGAAAAATATTTTGCGTATTTAGCAGCAAATTTACTATTTACTTCTATACAAAGTAAGTAATTATTACAACTTGTAGTGTGCATGCTCACGTAAAGTATTAGTTTTTTCCTGAACTCAAAGGGGCCCAAAACAAAACGCAATTCTTTTGTGTTGATTATAAAGAGCAATTGAAATAAACAATGTTGTTTTTTTAAGTAGTACCGTTATATTAATGTTTTGTCGATGAATATGTTTAATTTAGTTGTGTAATATCATTGAATATTAATATGTACACTGAGAAAACATTAATATATTTAGCAGTGGCGTACTCTAAAATTTTCGTGGAATGAAAGGAAGGGAGTCACAACCATTTCTGGGGACCGCTTCTGAATCCTTGAGGTCAGAATTTTAAGGAAACTGTGATAGAGGAGGGTTGTAATATTCAAAACCTCCACCTGCATGCCGATTAAATACAAAAGTATAAACCATTTTGTCTTTCTCCTAAAAATGATACACTATACGTTTATTAATATAGGTAATACAGTTTTTTGTCCCTACAACACACTTTTCATTCAAACCAAAACACTTTCTGGTTTGTTCTAAAAAAAAAAAAATTTGCCAGATCTTGCCGAGGCCTCCCTATCTCGTGAGGCCCGGGGCTACAGCCCTCCTAGATCTGGTCCTGCTCTACGTACCTTTGTATCAATCCTTTTTTTTCAAGATATGTAATTATCTAGTAAGACTTAGTTCATGTTTAGAATATTTAAAAGAAACTGTTCTAATTGTTTATTATAAAGTCATATATCTTTTTTAAAAACATAGTATATACTCTTTTAGAGCACAAGAGGTTTATCACATTATTTTTATATAGAGAATTTGCCTATTTTTTCAACAAAATGAATTTTAAATATCTACCTATTTAATTTCTCTTATCATTGAAAAAAATCGTGTATAACTCTAATGAGTAGGTATTTTATCTAAATTACTGAAGAGTGAAAAAAAAGAGATTATAGTAATTAGTTCTTAACAATAAAAAAATATACATAATATATATTTAAAAGAAAACAAATTTTAATAAAACTTGTTCAAGTTTAAAAAAGTATCTGTCAATAAATCTTTTATCCGAGGATATACTTAATAAAGGTTTCTTAAAAAGGTTGAATTTTTAGTACTAATCTATATATAGGTATTTAAACTTCTATCCAACTCTAAATATTACGTTTCTGACTTTCATCAAGAATTAAATAAATACCTAGTTCCGAAAGTTTCTCCTCTTTTTAACTTATACTATACCTTTAATATTATTGTAAATACATACCTACATACTAAAGTAATAATGAATACAAAGTTGATACGTCAATATGCATGCCACCTGGGGAATATAGGTCAAAATTGTTATTTCAATTATTGCCATCAAAACAAATCAGTACAAACTCAAAGGGCACTGAACCTTTCACCTTTCAGGTAAACGCTCTTATTTGCTATGGCATTTTGGTTTTGTCATAAATTCGAAATCGATGAGATTGTAAATTTGTTCCGAATCTTCAAAACCTAATCCAAAATCTAGTTTTAGTCACGTTAGAATTTGGCAAAAAATAAATTACAGGAGATTGTTCTAGACTTTTTTTCTTCTTCTTAAAACAGAGTATCCTAAATTGTTTTATTTCCTTATGTGTAGAAATAAACGAACTGTCTTGTTTATTATTGTGGTGTAAGTGTCCAAAAATTTCCGAGGAATAATCGTCAACTAAGTATTTGCTGTAAGAAAAAGTAAAATACGTGATGTGCTTACTAAGTTTCAATAATCTCGATAATTTCTAACAAACCAAGTTTAGTTAACGAAGTATGCTTCCTTTTTCCTGAATAACATGATCATTTGATGGTTGTTTTTAAGACTAATTCATCTCTAACTATGTTATTTCGCTTCTACCGTCTATATTATTATAAACTAAACTTATTCTCGTATTAAATCGAAATACAAGACCGTTTACGTTATCGGAAAAACATTACGTTTTTTTGTACTAAAAGTGACTGCTCAATCGAATATAAGGTCGTCAATTTCTCTTCCTTTCTAGTCGCGAAATTTTGTTTTTGTTACGGATTTCGTTTAATTAATTTCAAAAGTTTCTGCGCATTTAAAATAACAAGAAATTCATTAAATTCGAACCAATTAATTATTTTGTTTCCAGTACATATTAATATACATTTTTTACGTTTGTTATTTTTAAGTTTATAATATACAGGGTGTTTCGGGATTAATTGACCATACTTAAAATTTGATTGCTTGTAGTTAATTTGGATAATTATTTATTACTCTCTGACTCTCTGTTTATTTTATTACTGATGTAAATCAGTGCTAGATGGCTGTTAAGTATAGACATTTTTAGTAGTGACGTAACACATGCCAAATAATAGACAACCCTATAGTACACATTGTCATGAAGAATTTCTTAATATTTTTACTAGATCAATTTTCGACCTTACGTATTTTGGACATAAGTGCCAGAAAAATGGCTTCTTTGTCGCGACCTTAAATATCGCGAAATTCTGGCAATATTAGAAATATTTAAGAAGTTTCAAACCCCAAGTGACAAACTAATAGAATTACAGAATTTATATTTTTAAATTTATAGAACAATATTGACTTTTATAGCAATTAATAAATTAAAATTATATCAATGTTAATGAGCATGCGTATTAAAGATAATTTCATGTAAGCGAAGTAGCCTCGCAACAGGATATCATTCAAGAAAAGTTTGGTTGTGGTTAAAGAGTACGTGTATAATAAACCACTTGAAGAAAAAAAAACACTCGATAAACATACTGACACAGTACAACACCAAGAAAAACAATAAAAATACTTCGTAGAACTAGAAAACGGCAAGATTAACATATTAACAAGATCTCACCTGCGTATGAGGCTATTCTTTCCGAGCATGAGCATTAGGAATAAATAACACGACTAATGTTAAATTTTTACTTTATTTAAATTTAAGAATGTTTTATATCGTTTTTTGTAAGATTTAAGCACATTAGTGTATCTATTTTACCGAACACGTGTTGTTTGTTCTTAAATACTTCTAAATCCTTGCAAAAATAAATATTTGAAGCTGTTCATTTTTATAGTATCTATGTAAATAGTGCACAAGAGTCAGATTCGGTCTGTAAAATTTCAACTACGAAAATTTGTTGCGGGTTGCCTAAATATGTGACGTCACACTAAAAGAGTCTTAGGAATTTTGTTTGTGGATCTCTTTGATATCTTTTGCATTTGCTTACCTAAGTAGGTTTTGGTATCAAAGAATATTGTTTGACTTTATTGGATTTTTATTTTTTTTTATAAAAGAATTTTCAATATCTTTAAACTGGTACCTACCTTTACAATACTATTTTAGTTTTTAATAAAAGAAAATATTTTTAGTAGGTACTTTAGTATGTTTTATTTCATTTTTATACTCTACAAATAATGCCATATTTGTATACCGACATGACATTAACGTCTGTATAGGCGTATAAGGCAATTTTGTACAACCAGACCTGGACAAGATCAATTTTCTCATTATAGTTAATTCGTTCGTTATATATTCAAAGCGTAACAATGCTAAATCCTACCTCGGCAATTGTCATGCGTTGTTTATGATTTTGTTATATTTTGCTATTCTCAGTACGCTCGTCGATCGCGCATTTGAAAGTGTACGCAACTTCCCGCTCCCGTATTTTGTAATTGAAACATTTATTGGAAAGTTGTATTATTCAACAAATAAACTTTGTGAAACATTCATTTGTTATCACCAGACAATAATTTAATATGTTAAAGAAGACGCAGAAGAAAATGAAGTTAAGGAAGCGCCTTAAAAGTATGTTGGATTTTTGTATTACCACAGCATGTATACTATTAATGCAGATTTAATTTTTGCTAAGTATGTCTTAATTCTTTGTACGTTCTTTTAATTACAAAATTGCACGTGTTTTTTACACAAAGGAGATACAAGTGATTACTGATTAGATTACTGGAATTGAGCAGCAAGTGAAATTATGTTTCCTTGTTTTCATTAGTACGTAGTATATAGTATACAAGATGATAATTTTACCGTTATTATTTTTTCAAAAAAATAGTAATTTTTAATTAATGCGGAATTAAGATTCGAAATCCGAAAGAAAAAAATTAGATGCCACACTAATAATAATGTAATATATAAGAAGTGGGTAATTTTTTCATCAAACTTATTTTAACTTCAAGGTGCAAGGTCCGCATGTAAATCGTACGTGATATAATAACGGGGGAGAATCCAGTACACTGGGCTAACATACATAAAGTTTGGCCCATTAATAAGATCCAGAACAACCCTCTATTACTTTTTACGAATGATTTTTCTTTACATATAGTATCTTTCTAGACGTTTTTGTTGAAACAACTACTATAATTCTGTTGGTATTTTTTTGTACTTGGATATTTTATTATCCATAAAAAAAATAGTTAAATAAATTCTTTGGCCAGAAAGACCAGTCAAAGGTTATTTTCATGAAAATATTTTGGTCTGACCAAAAATCTTACACTGAAGAAAGCAGGCAAGTAAAAATTCCCATAATTTTATCACGTAGGTACTAATTTAATTAAACGTCTCGAAAATCAAATTATTTTTGCTTTCAAAACTACGAATGGTTTGGTTTTAGAAAAATAAACGTAAAGCACTAGTCATTTTTAATCGATGAAAATTAGTAGCAATTGTTTAGATTTTTAGGGGCTGCTTATCGCTACATAATTTATATATATGAGGAAAATATATTTCTTACGTTTACGTTGTAATAAGAGCATATTGACTGTTTTAAATTACATATTTTTAATTTTCCGTAGCGTACCTGCCGGTGTTTTCTTAAAACAGGCTTAATTCTTTTGCTCGCGACATGTTCGTAATGGCGTTTCCGTAGTCTACGACAATTTACGACAATACGTTACAGCATAATTTCGTAATCAAAATCGAGTTTGGAAAAATAAAAAATTCATGACCCATCTTATTTTCCATTATTTTGTGTTTTGCTCTAGAGAAGCTCTAGATTAGGTTGATATAGGGAGCTGTATGAAAATAAAATACGAACCTGGAATGTACGATTGATTCACGGGTAAGATAAGATGTTTTTTGAAGATGGTCATTTGAAAACGATATAAAAAAATATAAAATTCTTACATGTATTTTTCAGTATATTTGTGACACATTTATTATAGGAAAACATTCAATTTACTAATTTCATAAAGTGTTGTAATTATGAGTACAATCTAAGGATATTTACGTACTAACTTTATGATAATGCAAAACTGATAAGACAGAAACTATGTGCAACTCGTTTTTAAAATTAATTGTAAAGTTGAACCGTGTCACAATAGAAAAAAAATCCATTCTACGCATTTTAACTAATAATATTTCGTTGATAAACAGTTTAGAAATTAAATACACTTGGAATATTTTTTTTACCCGTTCCGAAAAGTTAAAATTGAACGAACTGGATTTGATGGACCCTTTACATTTTTTTATTGTATATTACTGAAATGTCATAAACAAAAAAATGTCTTAAACTTTCCACCTACTACGTATTTATAGTGCTTCCTCTGCATAAGTTGTTTTGTCATTTAAAGTTATGAATATTTATTCGGTAATGAAAATGCTACTGGGTTCTTTAACCTTATATTCATTCAGAGCACAAATAAGAAATAAGACTGCTTATTCAAATAGGTAATTAACATGCTCTGTGAGAAGGCCAGTGTCACTAACAAATTAGCAGTCTAAAAGCTAAGGAAAGAACGAAAAACAAAATAAAAATTATTATTTTGATCTTTGCAATACTAATTAATTTACCTATCGGAAAATTCCATATAATGCAACATTTTTGTATTTTCATAAGGAAAAATAGTTTTTGTAAAAATAGTACCTAATCTATTTTATTTAGTTCTAAATATAAAGTCCATATGGTGAAATCACAAGATAAAATATGATGGTTTATTTCTTAGGATAAGTACCTATGTTTTAGTAAATTTATTGTACTGAACAATTGTTATTGATGATAAGAGTCATCTAAAATGCTTTGTTTACAATTTATAATTTGTTTATAATTTTTGTAATAGATTAGCATTCTTTGTACTTAGTTTATTCGCTTTCCCTCTCATATCATTAAAAAATGTGCAATATACGAGTACAGATATGTAGAAATATTTCGTTTTGATGTACACAGAATAATTTTACTTTAATTACGAAATTGCAGGAGTCGAAAAATAAATGTGGTTTGTTTTTAAACCTTTATCTCACAATCAGAAGGCGTTGTTGTTTCAAGAGGTTTTTAATATTTTGAAAATATGTATCTCGTTATGTCTTTATTATTAAACGAATTTGAACGAAGTTTGATACAACTTATAAATGAAGAGGTGTTTTAATTGATAGAATTTTAGTTTCATTACTTTAGTCAGTGGCGTGTGACTGGCTAAGGGGGGGCAGGGGTGTGCACGGCCCACCCCAGACAACCCGATGCCCACCCTAGAAAAATATCTATCATCTTATCTTTGTCATATCGGTAAGTCGGTGACTGCGCAGCCTTTTTTTTAGAATCACATCAAAACGTGTTAAAATTTGATTGGTAAGTCGCTGATCGCGAGCGGGGACTGTATGCCACTGTCAAAATTTTTTAATTTTAGTAAATAAAAGAACTAATGCCCTATATCTTTTAGAGCTAACCTGCTTAAGACAAATGTTTATTCATTGAAGTAGGTACACTTATTTTTCAATGAGAAATCCAAGTTCATCTATTTTACAAAATAATTATTAGGAAAGTATATAAGATATTGTCTGAACAAAATTATTTAATCGAAGAAATGAAAATTTATGTGAATTTTTCTTCTAGGACTTAGGATGTTAGGAGAATATGAGGATGAGTCTTCTTCATCGGGGGGAGAATTGACACCTACCAGAAAGAACAATTCCTCACATTCGCAGAATGTTCAACAGAATCCTTCGATTTTATCTTCCTTGAGAAGTGTTTTAATTGTACTAAGTACAGCTCTAATCTGTTTTGCTGCTGCCAGAAATTCTATCACATGGTACGTTGTCTGATATATGTATACATACATAGTACATAGGTACACTTTGCCCTTGAAATTGTTTTTCGTGCTCATCATCATTAAATAATTTAGGAAATACTAATGGTACTTATACATAATCTGCCAGGGAAATCATTAATTAAAAATTTGAGTTATTTTATTTTTGATCATAAAATAATATTTTAAATCAAGTTTAATAACTTCAGTTACAAAAGGGCAGGGATATCAGTTGAATATATTTTTAAAAGCAACTACATGTATATATTTAAAAACTTTTATAATAAATTCATTAACCTGTATTGATACATAGTAAAATAATTTTATCGACATTCACTATCTATTTTTTTGTGTCTTAGCGTTACATTCAATTATGTCGACAAATAATTATATGTGTATTGAAGACAACAAAAAAATTAACAATTTGTAAAGTCTAGACTAGTTTTACAAATTTTCTGCTGTTCATAGTGTATATGTGCCCTAACAACTAAATGTTTGGAAAAACAGTTAATATTGTCACACAACCAAATTCATATAAATGTTAATCTTTTTTAAAAATATTATTGGTGATTAAACCACATTCTTGTAAATAATAATTTTGTTTTCACATTTTTTTTTAATTGAATCAGTATTTAAATTTCACAGGTTATTTAAAAGAAATATAAAGTAGCGCAACTTTATTTCTCGTCTCAGAAATTTAAAAAAAACCATAGTTTTAAAATAGAAATCAAATTGCAAATATTTGTTTAGGCATTGTCAACGGTTCTGGGGTGCTTCTGGTGATTTCTGGCAGGCACAGTGGGACAAATTCTTAGATACGGTGGGAGAAGACCCATTTTACTTATGGGTATATGGCACATTTGTCCTTTCATTTGGGGTGTACTGGTTATTTGGTGGTATATACACAATCATGGATATGACTAACAAACCTGCTGCAATTAGGAGGTACAAGATACAACCTGGAACAAATGAACCCGTCGATAATAGAAAACTACTGAAAGTAATTATGATCAATTGATGTTTTTTAATGGAATATTAATTAGTTTGTTGTCGTGATTGTTCCTTTCTGATGTGTGTATTTTTCCATTACTTAATATTTTACTTCATACAGGTTATATGGTATGTACTTTTAAACCAAGTCGTGGTAGGAATACCATCGTCTATGTTAATGTACTGGGCGATGAAATGGAGAGGATTTCCGCTACTACGGGAGCTCCCAACTTTCCACTGGGTATTGTATGAGTTAGCTGTTCATATTTTGACCGAAGAAGCTGCATTCTATTACTCTCACAGGTAAAAAATACCAAGAGGTTACGACTTAAGTCAGAATAAAAAAGAAAAAAACTGTATATTTTTTAGATTTCTGCACAGTCGTTACTTGTATAAGTATATACACAAGCAGCATCACGAATGGACTGCACCAATCGCAGTTACAGCGATTTACTGCAATCCCATCGAACACATCTTTTCTAACCTCCTTCCCCCATTCCTGGGGGTTTTCATAATGGGATCACATGTAGCAACTGCTTGGCTATGGTTCACTCTCGCTATCCTGTCGACGTTGAACGCTCATTCTGGCTATCACCTGCCGTTTTTCCCTTCACCGGAGGCGCACGATTTTCATCATTTGAAGTAAGTGACTATACCATGTCCATATAAGAACGTTGAAAATTGTGTTCAAATTATAGAAAAGTTAAGTTTGTCATTGTCATAATTGAGCTGTATCTTAAACATTTTCAGTACCTCCGTGATATACATACATCCTTATTTTGAATGTATTGCTCACACATGTTTACATAAATGTTTTTAAAGACAAAATGTCAATATTTACTGCATATTTGCATTGTCTGTTTACTTAAAAAGTATAACCATAAACAAATGTAATAAATATTAAGTAAAATATTTGTTCAGTAAATTGACTGAACTACTTATACAAAATTTCGCATGCAGGATGTATTTCCTGCCACAAGTGGTATGGAAAATTTTATATCTGAAAAGTGGATTTGCCAAACCAGCATGTTTTTTTATTACTTTTTCTTGTCCACAATTTGCAATATTACCCTTGTTTCGAGTGGTGAAACTGTTTTCCTAACCATGTCACACTTAATTAGTTTTTCGTTAAATTTTCGTATTGTCTATTTGATATGATAAAAGAAAAAGCTGATTTTGTTGTACATGTACAAAAGGTAACATATTCATGGAGCAAATTATAGAAAATATTAAAATTTTCATGATTTATTTTTGTAAAAATAAATTCTGATGATCAAGCCATTTAAACATTTGGTATTTGGTAAAGAACAGTTTATTCTCAGTCTTCTATCGTCTTGGCTTTAAGTCTGCTTTTTTAATTGTTACCTGTGTTCTTGAACTAACGTTAATTTGTTTTCCATACATATGTAGTAGCTCATTTCTTAGTTACGTATATGTAAATGTGTGATTTTCTGTAGAACTTTTACGCACTTGACCGAGTCTACAGCAGTGGTGGCTCGTCAGGTGACGCAAGTGACGCACCGCTTCACCCAAAATTTTCGTTTGGTTGTGCAATTTAAAATTATTTTTAATTAATTAATTTAAAGTTTTATAATTTAGGTATAATTCTATATTGAAAATGTATTGTTTGTTTGTTTAATATGCAGCAATAAAGAGAATAGTTGTGCGGTGAACACCTTCTAAAAAAACATTACCTTCGTTATTTTATTGGAAATGCCATTTTCCAGATGGAAAATTGAGGACAAAAAGGATTTTTTAGACTTCGAAACACCTTTGCCTTATTCTCTCGATAGGGAAAAAAGGGGAAGTCTGGTTTCTCTGACAGTTCTGTGTGTGTGTGTAAATGGCTGATTCTTACAAACAACGTCCGGCTTATCAAGAACATGCTCTTTGTAAAACTCAAGTGTACAAATGGTTTTCGCTGTTTAGAAAGGGAGAAATGGCCATTGAAGATCAGCCCCATTCCGATCGCCCTTCAACTACTTGAAGCGAGGACAACATCCACAAAATCCGTAATTTGATCAATGAAGATCGACGCAGGACAATCGACCAACTCGAGGAGTTATCCGGGTTGTCCTGGAGCTCAATTCAGCGAATTTTGAATGTTGATTTGGGGATGCGAAGATTGGCAGCAAAGTTCGTGCTGAGACTTCTCACCGAAGAACAAAGGCATCGTCACGTTCAAGTGTGATGAAATGAAATTTTTTCAATAAAATCATCACAGGTGACGAATCATGGTGATATGGGTATGATCCAGAAAGTAAACAACAGTCAAGTCAATGGAAGTCAACTGGCTCACCTCGCCCAAAAAAAAGCTCATCAGGTGAAATCGAATGTGAAGACGATGTTGATCTGTTTTTTTGACATCAAAGGGATCATACACTCAGAATTTGTCCCTCAAAACCAGATAGTAAACCAGCAATTATTTTTGGAGGTTATGAAAAGGCAGTGCGGAGCTTTGGCGCGAAAACGTCTGACTTTGTGGATTTCCGGCAAGGGGTTCCTGCCTCAACGAAGATGACTACATTGACCCACGTACCCTATTCGCCAGATTTAGCACCCTCGGACTTCTTCCTCTTCCTGAGGATGAAAAGGGACTTGAAAGGAAAGCTTTTGCGGTGTCGAACACGTAAAACTCAATATCACAACGGTGCTAGCAGATATCAAAGAGGACGAATTTAAAAGGTGCTTTCAATATTGGAATGAACGTTTGGACAAGTGCATTAATGCTAATGGAGAGTACTATGAAGGAGACTGAGGTTGTATTTGAAAAACTATAAAGTAAATGCTCTCTACAAAGAAATTCCGGTTATTTTTGGGTTCCCCTCGTAAGTGGTTGTGTGGAAGTGTTTATTTAAAAAAACTTTTCTGTATGCCATGTTTAATTGTGGGTGTAAAGTCGGGTGTGTGAAATAAGGAGGGATTTAACAATTTTGGGAACGTCACGCGAGGCTGCTGTAACCACAAAGCTTCTTTGGAACANCAATCATCTACACATAATTTCACTACAAAGTGCCCCTTATGACGTCACAGCTGTTTTGAAATGTTATAAAAAAATCAGTGATAAATAATTATTTTAAAACTGTTCTGACGGATTTCTCAATCTCTAACTGTGCATACACACTAATTAGTACGTGTAGAATTATATTATCTACTTTTTGAAATTTGGTCAACAACCCTATTGTGGGTGTAAAGTCGGGTGTGTGAAATAAGGAGGGATTTAACAATTTTGGGAACGTCACGCGAGGCTGCTGTAACCACAAAGCTTCTTTGGAACATACATGAACAGGGTGCGTTAATGTTCGCAGAAGTTCACAAACCGAACTAATATTTCTATTTTTTATAAAATCTAAATGAAAATCCTTCTCACGAATGTCAGTTTTTCGGTAATATTGCAAATGCAACTAAAAATTTCCAGATTCAGTTAAAGCTTTGACCTTGAAAATTTGAAAATTTTCGCCTGCGTCGCTTTTTTTTTTCGTTTGAGTCAATTAATGAATATGCTTCACCTATTCTCAATATCACGAGCTGCATTGGCCTAAAGACATGTATGTATGTCGGGGGGTGGTGGAAAATTGGCACTTAGGCGTTATTAATAGGCCCCTTGTACACCCCCCTTTCATTACTTGAGTACTTTTCTACAAACCATCCTATTACTACACGGGTGGCTTGGTGGCAAAGTCTCGTACAATTTTTTATGTATGATAGCATAGTCTTGAGATACAGAGATTTATTGCTCTATTCTCATTACCATTTTATCGGGGATCACACGCAGGCGGAACGTGTTGAGCGACCCAGGTCTCTGGTAGGCTGCCACAGCCACATCTCGAGCCTACCTTAGGTCACCCATCCAAGTTCCAGGCTGCATCCGTGATGCTTACCTCGGCCAATCGAAATCCATCGGCCAAGACACCCGGCTAGGCGGTCCCCAGTCTACAAACATAATTTCCAGTCTCTTGAAACCCTTTCAAAGTATTGACTTCTCTTTAGATGTTTTGCAATATTTTTGTTGTTATGTCTAGATAAGTAACAATTTGTGGGACTTCAATCTATTTAATACACTTAAAATTGTTAGAATAATTAGACATTGTCAAAGTGTTATTTGCGAGTGAATACTTTTTTCAACTCTGACCGGTGCAAGCAGTAGCTAAAGAACTAAAATTATACATAATTTATACTAGATTCATTGGAACAAAAGTCAGGTATAACCAAAAATGTAAAAAATGATGCAGTAACACTGCCCTATGTATCTTATTAATGTGTACTTTGTAGGTTTAATAACTGTTTTGGAGTACTGGGTGTGTTAGACCGCCTGCACGGTACCGACACAAGCTTCCGGCAGACCCGAGCTTACGTCAGACATATAATGATGTTGAGTTTCATACCGCCGAGGGAGGCATTCCCAGAACCAAACATCTGCAAGCACAAACTGGGAAAGCAATAATCAAAACAGTTGTTTTTCACACCGATTATTTGTTGGCGCAGGTATTAGAATATAATTTTGAAATATTTTTCAGATACCTCCAAATACAACAATCAAAATTAAAATAGCAAATTTTGCAGATGTAATATATAATAAACCATTTTGGAAAATTGTATTTTGTTGATGGTGAACCAAACTCTAATATAATAAGCACTCACATTACTTCATGAATTTTTATGGTTTGTCTGCATAAAGCACACAAAGAATCAGGAGGTGATAACATACAGTGCCACAGTGGTCTTTAGTAAACTTACTGGGTTTAACGTTGCACAATGTAAAGACATGCTAAATATGTCTTAGTAAAATGCTGCTGTGAAAAAAGATATAGGGTGTCAAAATTGAATTGTTTTTTGTGATAACTCTAGTACCACTTAACCTATTATCACTAAATTTAGTAGAAACATTTTTTAATAAGAAATAATAATTTACGTATTAAATCAGCAGATATTGAAATAAGAGAGGAAGTCATCATCAGGTATTGCTAATGTGGCGTCCTCTCTATGCCCGAACCTGATTTAATATCTTATCCAAAAAAAAATTGCCTAATAAATTTTGTGGCGATGATTTGAGGTACTCTAGATAATTAAAAAAAAGAAAAAACAAAATTTGACAGCCTGTATCTTCTTCCATAATAACATTTTATTAACACAAATTAATGTTCATGTTTCGCCCTGCGTCTTGGTCCATTATTAATGCTCCACCCTGTATACTAATATTAAAAATACCTTTGCTGATATTATTGGTGGTAGTTTTGCTTTAATTTTTCCTTGACAAGAAATTGGATTTTCCTAAATGTACTGTCTCTAAAACCCATCAAAATTTGTCAGTTATTTTTTATAAATTCATGTAAGGACGTACTATTGATTCTTTGTGGTGGACCGTTTTAATCTTTTAAAAGTAATAAACTCATAATTTTTTAAAAGTAGTAGACTTATTATTAGAGAGCGGACAATGTGTGACTTTAACCCGAAGAATAGGTCAAATTTTGGTAGAGATGTGTACGCGTTCAAAAATGTATTGTGTATAAAGTATGCAAAATATAATTATTATGTATAGCAAATATATCGTATTATCCTCGCGAAGATTTGTACCCTTTATTTAAAGTCCATAAATCATGTGAACAGGTTAAATAACGAGAAAATAATTAAGTTAATTTAGTTCTAAAGAAATGAAATGACACTCGCGCCCGTCTCTAGTCCATCCATCGACATCGGTTGCGTTTATCGAATTCCTATTGGTCAGAATTCAAACTGCAGCCCTGTTATGAATGGAGCGTGAGTTGGGTGCGTCGCCTGAGGATATTCGTTACATTGACTCCTAATTTCCAAATAAAAGAACGACACTATTTTTAACCGAACTTTATTTAATAAATATGTAGTATACAATTTCAGATTTTCTAAATATTTTATAACGCCTAAAAATGTATGTACCGTGGAATTTTCGTGAATTATCACGTAAATTTCCGATGCATACCCGACACGCCACTGCGTCATGGGTAATGTATCTAGGTTTATGAATGACATATCTATGTTCAAGGTTAAAGTCACAAATTGTCCGCTCTCTGCTTATTATTAGAATTCAACTTTAGTTTGGCAAGTAATAAGCGAAACTAGACTAGACTGCTCCAGTACAGGGTGTATTACGTCAAATATTAAGAAGCATTTTCCTCATTCCTTAAGAATATTTTCTTTTACAAACATTTGCGCTTGAAGCTTTATTGTTTGAGGGTGTTAAAATTTTCAAAAATAAAATATCTCGTATCTCTAAATATAGATATTGAAACTAAATTTCGTGTACATAATAATAGAATAAAATAACATTCATTGTGAATAATTATATCTTGGCCAAACTAACGGCAGAAAGAAATCCGTTAGAAAAGGAGGATTACATGGATTACATAGTAGAGAAAGTAAACCAATTTTATCATTACAAAAGAAAAAAATAAGACAATGATGATTTTGTTGAATAATTTCTAAGAGTTTTTCAAAAATATCAGTTTCAATAAATAAGTTTATGTCGTTAGTTCAAGAGGGATCGCTCTTGAATTAATTGCAGCTGGTATTAAGCACAGAGGAGTTGGGGTAAAAGAATTATTATTTCTATGTACATTTATGAATAAACGTTAAATGACTATTTTTTATACCAACAATTAATTTCGCTAAATTATTAGCTTCACAGCTGTAATTTGGACAGGAAATTTCATTTTGATATTCAAACACTTGAGATAAGATTTAACAAAACGATTATCTATATCTTATGGAGTATTTTAAATACTTGAATAATTAAATAATTGTAACGTTTAAAAATTTTTGCGAATAAAATTCATATATTCGTTGTGTAGACCGAGCTACACAATATTATAGAGTGGCCTATTAAGAACTGTGGCACCCCTATAAAATTTTTTGGCATGCATAATTCTAATAATTTTTTTTTTCGTATACCTTCTAGATGTACATGTTAAACTAATTACGATAATCTAATCTGTTGCAAGTTTTTTTTCGGAAAATCATTTTAGAGATTTTTTTTAAACATTTTCACAATTTTAGACAAGACTAATATTTTTACAATTTTCGGAACATATGAAGACTCATTTATCAATTATCCGTTATCAATTTCTGACCTCAGTAATTGACTATTTTTTCAACTTCAGCATTTTTAACAGTTCCTAGATTATTAAACTGAACGGAACTTAGTAAATTTCAAATTACTATCCTGTAAAAACAATTTTTTGAAGTGATGCTGATTAAGCTACACAGTCAGATTTTTAAGTAAAATATATGTAGTGATTTTCCAAAATATCACAAAAGAATCACAACACGCTATGGATTATTATAATTTATTCAACAATTACATCTAGAAGGCCACAATATACAATAGATATGTATATACAGGGTGTTTCATTTCCGGTGTGCTAAACGAACACAGATGATAGTAATTTTGAGCAAAAAAAGTTCATATCGACATGTGTCCGAAAACGCCCCCCTGTGTGCTACACCCCTTTAAAGGGGGCCATTAAGACACAATTTTATTACAATATCTTGAAAATGCTTCGAAATAAATTAATAATATTTTATACAGAGGTACCATTTATTACGAGGAATTACTTTATCTAAATCAAATTGACCATTGATTTCAGAAGCGTCCCTACAGGGGCAAGCCAAGGTTCACAATCCGTAACTTTTTTTATTTGTCAAATTTGTAATTCTTTTTTCGAAAATCGAAATCCTTGACCATTTCTACATAAAAAAGATATACTTGTTTCATTTCGATATCTGCAACGGTTTTCCAGAAAAAGCCGATTTTAAATTCTTATGCTTCTACTGAAAATTAAACATTATAAAGAACATAGAATTCTATTTTCTCTACATGAAATAAGTTTACCATTTTTATCTAGAAATCGTCCAAGATTTTGATTTTCGAATTTGACAAATAAATAAGTTACAGATTTTGAACCTTGTTTTGCCCCCCATAGAGACATTTCTGAAAACAATGTGTCAAATAAAATATTTTATCAATTTATTTCGAAGCATTTTCGAGGTATTGTAATAAAATTACGTTTTCGGACATATGTCGATATGAACTGTTTTGCTCAAAATTACTTTCTCTATCATCTGTGTTCGTTTGGCACACTGGAAATGGAACACCCTGTATGCTGGAAATATATTTTTTTAATTTTTTTTGAAATATAAATTTTATTTTGCACGCAAATGGTACCTTGACGTTCTTGCATACTTAGTTTTCTCCGTTTTAGTGCAAATTAGGAATTTGTAATGATAATACGTTTAAATTAGTTTAGATTTAAATAATTTTACAAAAGAATACGCTTCTTCATTTTTGACACCGTTTGTATACATTTGCCCTCTCAGAAGACTAAAAAGTTTGAATTTGAAAGAAGCCTCACAAAATATACATTTAAAAAAAGTCGGAACTTCTCTATATTTCTTTTTTTGTATAAAGTTACAACATATTTTTTCAAGTAATTTTTAAAAATTACACTAAAGTTTTTTGTACTTTGTGGTTGAAAAATATAACGCATAATACATTATTTAGTTGTATTGCACATGCCAGTTGATGTCAAAATTGTTTAAAATACAGTGATTTTTAGTGAAGCATTCAGTTACTATTATGTATTACGCTAACCATACAAGTACATAAACCATTTCAAGAATTTCTGACCTCGTATCAACTTAAGCAACAAATTATTAAGCGAGAAGATAAAATGAGTGGAGAACGACAAATGCGACTCTGTTGTATGGATCACAATTTAGTTAAATGTCACTATATATTTTGTTAATATATTTTAATAGCATTTTATACACTTTCACCCATATTATAGGTATGTATAGTAGTGATGTTCGATTCGCAAACCCTGAATGTGACCAGGAAAAAAATAACTATATAAAACGCTGAAGTCTGTAATTTTTATAATCTTTAAGTATAGTGAAAGAAACATTAATTTATACAGAAATCAAGTCTTCGTTAAGAATTTTTTTTCATTAACTTTATTTTTTGTTGAACCATATTTAAAAATGTTGGGATATATTTAATGATTTTTAAATATATTTTATGTTAACATCTAAAACAATTCTTTCATTATACTATTTATAACTCGGTTATCTAAACTTATCTAGTGATTATTATTGTGATGTTAGATGTTTCTTTATATTTGTATACAAAAATATGTAAATTAAAAAGTTTAAGGTACCTCGATAATGTATTTTTTAGATCTACTATTTATAATTATTTAATATTGTAGCAATAAAATTTTATCATAAGCAATAAAATTTGTTTTATTAATTTCGTTACTTAATTACTTAATTGTTGGTAAATGGCTAATACAGAAATTTACGTTAAAAGTGAGAAAAGTAATCAAATTCCATTAGACAATTTATTGACTGTATAAAAATACATTTTATTATCAAGAATATCACAAATTATTGCATTCTGTATAAGGCACGGTACACTCAATAATATATAAGTAACAATAACGGATTTATAATATTTTAAGCCATTTTAATTGTTATACATCCCTTCAATTAAAAAATCCATCCTCCTGTAATTTCTGTGTTGCCACCAATCCTGCCCTCTTTTATAAAGGACAGACATAATTATTGCCACTAAGGGAACAGACAAAATAACAGCTACTATAGGAATCACATAATTAGCTCTGTTGCTCTTCTTCTCGAGAAGAGTGTCGATATTGGGAATTTTTGGATCTGGTTCTGGATTTTTAGTTTCTGCAGTTTTAGATGCAAGTTCATTGGGTTCAACAAATAGAGGTTTTTTTGGTATTGTGGCCTTTGTGGTTGGTTTTGTTGTGACAGAGACTGGTTTTGTTGTGCTATTCATCGCTGAAGTAGTTTCTTTTGAAGGTACATATTTGGAACTATCAGTATCATTGAAATTTACACCTTCCCCCTTTTTCACATTTTGTTTTACATCAATCTTCTTTGAGACACCTGCATCTAATTCTGGCTTTTCAAATACTGGTTTTCCTACCTCGTTATCCTTAGATCCTGTTTTGTTACTGGTTCCAACAGTAGACTGACCGTTTAAATCTTTCGCTGTTAATGTGTCATTCACTTTAGTTGCTGTAGTTTTCTCCAAGATTGTTACATGTTCTCGTCTTAAATGTGTTTTATCTTCTGAATGTTGTGGAAGCGCACCTCCTTCAGCTATTTGACTTGATGTATTTGAAGTAACATTACTGTGCAAATTCTCACGGGCTGATGAAAATGTTGCTAAGAGTAATATGTAACAAATTAAATTGCTTATATTATACATTTTCAATGTTACCCATTAATTATATTATATTTGAATATTATTTCATTTGTATTGTTTGGCCATTTGACGTACATTCACAAAACGTAACCTACACTTCTACATCAGCCAAAACTCAAAAAGAGTAAAATAAAAATATAAAATGAAGAAACTTTCCCAAAACAAAATTTTTGGTGAAAGACCAGTATGTTGGTAACACTTTATCAACAGATGAGTTCCTTTTACCTTAACTGAACTAAAATAATTCAAATTATAAGGCTACAGCTTTGATTTGAATGATTTGTTTTGCTCGTCAATATACAGTCCAATTTTTTGGAATGTAAATGTTTACAAGAAAGAAATTTTAATTAAAAAAAAAATGTTCTAATTAAAATTAATTAAATTTTTAGTTAACCGATATTTAAACCAACTTCAAACGTACTCGAATTAGTTCCTACTAATCTGAAGGTCAACATAGAACCTTTTGACTTTGACACTTTTGACATTGGACTATAACTAAATCCAAAATCTACTAAAAAGGTTTTTCAATCTTCAATCACTTCAATCAGTTCAATCAAAATCAAATCTAATCTCTGTTCTCCATTCCAATTTGTTTGCATTGCGAAATACCAGTCGATTTTTAAATAGTGGTGATATTTTTATATTGGAAAATTAAACCGTTTACCTTTCTAATAAAATTACTACCTTATAAAATAAATTCCAAAATGTATACTGCATCTCTTACGCATTTATCAAAATTAACCAAGGACGAAGTTACAAAATTTTTGAATTCATTCGATACAGTTTTACTAGATTGTGATGGAGTGTTATGGCTTGAAAATGAAGCAATTCCTGGTTCTGTGGGAGTTGTTAACAGACTTCGAGAAATGGGGAAGAAAATATTATTTGTGACTAATAACTCCACAAAAATTAGAGAAGAATTCGTTACAAAAGCTAAACGTATGGATTACATAGTGGAGAAGGTAAATCTATTTTATCATTACAGGAAAAAACGTAAGACGACTTTTCTAGGATGAAATAATAACAACGTCTTATTTAACAGTGAGTTTTTTGAAAAATATTGGTTTCAATAAAAAAGTTTACGTTGTTGGTTCAAGAGGGATAGCTCAAGAATTAAATGCCGCTGGTATTAAACACAGCGGAGTTGGGGTAAGAAATATATTTTTTTACGTATGTTTTTATGAACAAGCCCCAAGAATTTTTTTACTCAAGAGTTATAAATTTACTATCCTTTGGGCTATACTATTTTTAGATTTATCTAAATAAACAAAAATCAATAATTTTTAGGTAATTTGATGTTAAACATCAAATTATAATATATTTTTATTTTGGTATTAATTGTTTAAACACTTAAACACAATATAAACATATATCAAGTAAAAATCATGATTATGTACGGTTTGTTGTTTGTAATATCAAGGTGAAATTAACAATGAATGTTGACAACGTTAATGTTGTGTACTAATTTTTATCAGTAACATATTTTATTGTTTACTACCTTAAGTTATAGTTTTTTAAAGCAGTTGTTATCAACATTTATAGTAAACTTATTACTGTTAAGATTATTGAATCCCTTTTAACAATAGTAAAACAGAATTTTAAAATTGTAACAATTTAAACTTTTTGCAGCCAGATGTTCTCCAAAACAGTGTTGCACAGACGGTGGAAAATTTCCAACCGGATCCCGATGTGGGCGCAGTAATAGTGGGTTTCGATGAGCATTTCTCTTACAACAAAATGCTTAAGGCGGCTTCCTACCTCAACAAACCTAGCTGCCTGTTTATTGCAACAAACACAGACGAACGTTTTCCCATGAATTCTGATTTAGTAGTTCCGGGGACTGGTGCAATCGTTAAAGCTGTCGAAACATGTGCTCTAAGGGAGCCTCTGGTTGTAGGTAAACCGAATGCCTACATCGCAGAGGCACTCGTGAAGGAACATGGAGTTGATCCGAAAAGGACCATTATGGTTGGAGACAGGTAGTGCAGCAAAAATAAATTAATAAAATCAAGCGACTGCATATTATTTTTAATTTTAGGTGTAACACTGATATTTTATTGGGAACCCGATGTGGCTTCCAGACAATGCTAGTCTTAACTGGCGTGACGAGATTGGAAGAAGTGCTGCAGTGGAAGAAATCCTCTAAAAAGGAAGAGAAGGATCTTGTACCGGACGTATACTTGGAGAGATTAGGTGATCTATTAGAATTTCTTGATTGAGCAAAGTATTGCTCGATTTTAGCCTGATTTATTTATTTTGTATATTTAATACAATAAAACTGCAAGACAGTTAATAGCATGTATTATCTTGATAGGCATTTACGGTGTTCGTGTATGTAATAACTACATATTAAAAAATTTATTATTTTGTCATCATTTAGATCTCAAAATTTAAATTTTACTAAACTAGAAGTTAACTTTAAATCAATTGCAATCATTATTTAATATTTATTGATATATTTCTGTGCCAATTATATGGAATAAGGTTTAAGTTAAGTGACAATTTTTCGCACTAACTCTGTAAACATTATTATCAATTGTACGGTGTGCCAATCTTTATTAAATTCTCAGAATACATTAGTATAATGCATCTTTTTTATGTGGATACATCTATAAAACCGTTTGTGCAGGCAGACGTCATCTTAGAACAATTTCTGAATATATAAAAATATGTAACGTTCTTTGTGCTCATAACTTCTGAATGTATTGTTACGAATCAAGTACTGATTGAGAGCCACAGTGGACTGTTCTAACATTATATGAAAGAACTTGATTCTCCAACCAAGACTGGTGGCTTACATCTAATGAGCCCTCATCAAATTTTTCTCGAAGAGATGAATCAAGTCAAACTACATCACAGGTTTCAAAATAAGTAATATATAACGTATTTGTTATATTTCGGACCAGACTTGAACAGTTTACTCGATAACTAAGTACAAGTGTTGCGAGATGAACTAATCGCAAGTTCGCAAGTATCGAAATGTGCCCATAGTTTGTCCATCTCACAATCAACTGCTTGAAATAACTTTCCCAGTATAACTTGGAGTTGAATTAAAAATAATTTTCAAGTATCTCTTATAAAGAAATTATTTAATAAAAAATAAACATGTAGAAAATGTAACATATAGTTAAACGTAACAATAAATGAGAATTTTAATACACAAAAGGAATTAGTGCCTTTCTATTTTTAGGAAAGTCCTTGAATTCCTCTAGGTACCACCAATGGGTCAGTAAAATTGTCTCAATCTAAAAAAAATCTTGATCAATAATTTAAAATGGCATTAGCACTGTTGTGATGCGGCAGAATTTTATTAAACAAAAAAAAATATATGAAAAAACAAACTAAATTATATCCTCCTGGCCTATTTGTAACCATAAAATTGAAAGAGATAGTGATCGGAGCTGTAATTAGTATTTCCATATTTTTGAAGCCTCATTTAGATTTTTAAGAAAATATGGGGATTTATTGGTCAAATTCTGTATATAGTCGAAGAAATAAAGCATTAAAAACGGCCTTACCTCCGAAATCTGTGCAGTAAGATGAATCGTGATTCGTTAGAGCGTCTAGAAAGTTTGTGTCCCTGTGTGATCAATGAGAAATAAAAATTGCATTGGTGCATAAGAAAAAAGCATTAAAACTGCATCTCAAAGTTAAAATATGAAAAATGTATAACTCAGAAAATATTGACGGAAATTAGTTCAATTTTGCTACTCGGGGGTTTTTGGAGTCGTTCAACACGAATATCGCAACGGTAACATTCTCCGAGGTACCGATGTCATCTTCATAAGCTTTATCGAATATCTAAATAAAAAATTATCCGAAACATTTTTTTTTTAAAATTGGCGCTTTTAATACAGTTGGTAGTATTGATGAAATTTTAGGTAAGGACTACGATCACTGGCCGCTGCTTCCACATTTTACTCTTACATATATGCTAATATATACTCTTACACATACTAGTATATACGGATACGCTCCAAGTTATAGCACACACTCAAATAAGAAAAATTAAAATTGTAAAGATCTAAGTATAATATTTTTTTTTGAAAATATGTATTTTTTGTATTGAATAAATGTATTTTTATAATAAAAATTAATTAAGAATAAAATAGTTGTTACAGAAACAAGCCATCCTGGGTACTAGGTACCTCGAGGACCGTTGCCGTCGTGATATTCGTGTTGAGCGACCTCAAAAATATAATATTTCTTATGCACCAATGCAATTTTCATTTCTCATTGATCACATAGGGTCACAAACTACTTTCTGGACGCTCTAACGAATCGAATGCAAAAATCCGCATCACGATCCATCTTACTGCACAGATTTCGGAGGTTCAGTGTTTCATTTCCTCGACTAATAGAATTAATTAGGGCTATAAGAATTTAACTAAAAATTCCATATTTTTGTAAAACTTTTTTAAAATTTTAGGTGATTAATGTTATTTTCTTTTAAACCAAAAATCTTGTATATCTAGATTGTCCATATTTGGTAATCAGGACACGCAAAAATTATTTAGAAAACTTTTTTTCGAAATCATAAATAGTAAGTTCCCTATTTGCTATAAATTTTAGGGTAGCCACAAAGGTTTGAAATAATCATACATAAGTAAAAGCAATTAGGAAATATTGACAGAACAGATTTCTACTACGTAAATTGAAAAATTTTTGTCAAAATTTAGTATACACCCTGTTACATTTGAAGATGTATTACTAATACTACTGTTATTAAATCACCACAGCATTTTCAAATCTAAAATTTTTTACATGCACCTTAGTACTCACAATATCCACTTTAATGTTAAAATTAAAAATAAGATAAATATGCGTCTTTCGATTATGATTGTGTTTAATCTGAATTATATTCAAATATAATCCTGACGTACAAATTGATACTCTAGATAATGACGATAATGAATCAAATTATCTTTAAAAGAAATAATTGAAGTCAATTTAAGCAAGTAAATTTTTACCTGATTACTGAGAACCCAGATAAATACAAAAAACCATGTAAAATTTTTCCACAATAAAATTGTTAGAGCAAGGTACATCAAAATTTCTGCTGTTTGATGAGGAGCCGTAACGTAATTGAACCAATCACCGTGTGGTACTTTATGAGATTCACTTACTACATTACCTAAAATATAATGATTTGCATTATTAATTGGTTCAAATTTGTGGAATGTTAATGTGTTGTTTAACTGTTGTTTAATTTACCTTTTTTATCTTTTCTCAAATTGGCAAGAATTCTGGTAGCAAGATGTTGATGCCACCAAGCCCACATAAATACAATAATGACAGCAATATCTAATTTAGAAATATCGGCTACGTTGAAAGTTTCTGCCGAGAGAAATAAAACTAAAAAAAAGAAATGTTACATTTTTACATATTTTTTATGTTACTTTATCTTAAAGATATTAAGCAAATCAAATTGATTCTAAAATATTTAAATTAAATGCCCTTGATATGATGATATTTATCAGTTGCCTATTAATTATTAGTTAACAATGGAAAAAGTGACATAACGCATACAAAAATTATGAAGAAAAATCTACAAATTCTAATGTATTCAAAAGAAAAATCTCATCTCAGATGCAAAAACTGTTATGCAAAGACATTTTCAAGGCATCAATAAGAATTCAGCATCTAAAAAAATAAACCAGCAAATGTTTAGGTGCATAATCATTTTAGTAGTTTGTAACATTATTTCTGAATTTGTTCTTTTGGATTTCTTTGATTTTGAATCTAGGTAATTGATAATACTCTTTGATACCAAACATCTAAAGGAGTTTTTGGAAATTCATTGTCATATATGATCCGAGAAACTATTTGTATGAAATAAGAAAACCACCCTTGATACCTACCATTTTTTTTTAACAGATAGCACAATCGAGGTCTAATCAAGTTAAAATTTAACACGTTAAAAAAAATTTAATAACAATTTTTTTCAAGTCAATGAAATTATGCATAATGAACTTTTTAACCTTAACCTCTACCGTATTATCATAAAAAGTCAAAATGTTACTATAATGAAAACAAAGATAAAAGTATATGCAAAGAAAAAATTACTTACTGTTTGCAAATTTTGGAGCTTCACAAAGTATAGCCAGCACACAACCTGGGTAATGGTAAAGGCCCACCAGATAATGCGAAAGGCACATTTCACCATGTTTTCCAAATACAGATACATAATGGGTGTCATAAAATCTTCGAAACACTTGCAGCGTTAGTAAGGTTAATGCTATATATGTTTTTGTAGCGGAAGCTAAAATACAGGTCATAAATTAATATCAGAACTACAAAATATTTGTGTGGATTACTGTGAATGTAGATTGCAAGAGTTTTGATAAATTTTTCCTTTTATTATGCATTAATTATTAAATCGATTTTACCTATTCTTAATTATTTACTAAATAAAAATTAAGTACTTACTAGTTGCCACTCTATCTTCACCACACGTTATATTTAGAAGTTGTATGAACCACTTTGGTACATCACTGTTAAACATATAAGTACTCGTTACCAAATAGAATATGTATGGAAAAAAGTAAATGGCAAACATATAGAAATGTTTGAACCATGATTTAGGAACTTTAACTACGATCTTTGACACTTTGTTTTTCACGCCGAATTTTCCATATCTAAAGTTTTCCACAAAAAAAATGGGCAATTTACTTTCCAATGTATTTAGTAGGCTACTTCCTAGTATGATTGTTGAAGTCAAAAATGAAAAACCCAGTAAAATATAATTCATTGTTTCAAATGTTTGAAAATTAAACCAAATTTTAAACAATCTACGTGAACTCCGGTTTTATTTTTTCAGTACACAAACGCAGCCACATACACTCAAGCCAATTAAATGAACTTTTACCATCTTGACCTACAATTTTATTTTTCATATCGAAATTTTACTGGAGAGGGATTGTCCGTTAATCTACAAACAGATCATCCACAAACAAATCAAAATCATAATGTGACGTGAAGTTAAAAGTAGGGTTAAGATCAAGGATTTTAAGATCACATCACGTCACCCTACCGAAGGATAGAGGCAGATAGAGTGACAAAATATACTGTTAGAGATGTGTAAACTCATGAACGAATTATATGTAATTCAAATGATTATGAACAGGATAAGGATAAGCTAATTATCTTCTTTGCTATAACTATTATTCCGTGGTGAATTCGTTATTCGTTCATCAATTGATGCACATTCAACGTCTAGTCACATATTACTAACAAAATGTGGTCTAGTTCACTGACACTGAACTAAATGATTACCGTTTTACTTCTTGTTGCTGCACATAGAGAAAAGAGTGAATGAAATAGTCAAAGTGGTATCAGACATTTTAATACAATTAGGTAAAATCATAGATTATTTATCTTTTTCTATGGATAAAATACCTACATTATTCCAATCTCTTTTTCATTTATTAAAATGGAATGCTCCTATTTTTCATGCAGTGCCATCTATCGCTCAAAAACTACACGGAACTATTCGAGAATTGCTTAATAACTAGCCAACTGTAATATTTACATATTCGCTGACCCGTTAATTGAGCTACTTACAAATAGATGGCGCGGCATATTATTAAAATTGGAAAATTTTGTTCTGACACAAACATTAAACTAAGAAAAAGTTAGGAAAATTGAAATTCTAAATCAGTTTTTATCAAATTTTTACTAATTTTCTTCAATTTTCAAATAAACAGTTTGATTTCAGAAAAACCAAAGATATGAAGATTACATCGTTATCTGTGTTAAAAAAATTTGAATAATGACCATGTATTCATATCATTTCTTGAATATTTTTTTGACATAAATTTTAACTTAATAAAGATTGATCACTTCTAGGACAAGGTTAACCATATTTCAAGTGTCTAGTATTTTAAACTTATTTAATTTTACTTTGCACTTATAATAACGCATAAGTTATTTTAAATATGTTGCTTATAAATTTGCTGGACAGGATGACTAAATATTTTTAATAGTGATCGATCTATATAACAATGGACAGATATAAAATATTTTTTGTTAAAAGTTTAATGATTCTTATTTCGTTCTTCTATTCTTTAAATACTACAGACTTAAACAATTGGAACACCTATGACAGGAACACATAAGTATTTAACTGTTTTACAAGTCCTTTTTAATGTGAGCCAAATATAAATTTCACTTATTAAAGCGGTGGCACAAATAATGACCATAATGAAATAATCTATGACTGTAAATAATTTTATTTATGGAACATATTAAAAAAACTTAACATCGCATAATGTGGAAATAGTTTGCGAGTATAAAACTCTTCAAAAAAGGCTTATGTGGAACACGGAAAACAAACAAGAACACTTTAAGAAGGACAAAATGGTCCAACTTCCGACTTATATTTTATTGTCAATTGGAAAATAGTTAATTACATAATTGCGTCTTTCGCTATTAAGTGATGTCACCACATACACATAGGAAGACCATACTGATAGTTTTGTTTAACAGATTATAGTGTTTTGTTCCTAGAGCACTCTAAACCAGTTTAACAGTTAGACGCTTGCATATTTCAGTATAATGCTTATACGAGGTTCAAAATACGCTATTTACAAATAAATGCGATTTTTTATTAATAAAACCACTACTGCACAATGGAGATTTATTTTGCGAAATTTTTACAAACTTTTGTTTTAATTTTTCTTGTAGGTATAACTAAATATTGTCCATCAGTTGTACCAAATAAGTTGTTAGATTCTTCTACAGTTTCCATCTGAAACATCATTTGTTGGTATTTTTTCATGGTTATTATGTGAATCACTTGTTAAATTTGATTTATTTAGTATAGCCGAATGTTCTTTCATCGGTAAAGGAACACCTGACAAAATCGAAGCCATACATTTCTTTTTCTTGCCTTTATCTTTCCTTGGTTTGCGATCTTTCTTTTTTGTTGATCTATTATGGATGTTTAATATGTGCCGCCTTAAATATTTCTAAAACAAAAATTTATTATAATACATACTTAGTTTATACTTGAAGTTCTCAAATTACTTTTGACTTGAAAACTACATCACAACCTTCTTCAGTACATTTTATTCTAGGTTCATCATTTTTCTTTTCATGATAAACAGAAATATGAGACTTCAGGTTTTTCTTGTACTTGTAACTCCTATTGCAGTCTAGGTATGGACAACGGTAACTATTTCTCTGACTTTCTTCTATGTGAGACATTGAGTGAAATTTTAAATTTGATTTTGTTGTAAACACTTTATTACATATAACACATTTATGATCTGAAAAAAACTGTTAAATATACAACGTATAGGTATTATTAGTGATGGGACTACTCAAATGAAAATTATCGATTATATCGATTATGAAAATCTCTCGAGATATCTAGAGTGATCATATAAATTCATTCGATTATTCGGAGACGAATGACAGTGGCCACAGGTGGGCCACAGCATTACTTACGTCAATCGTCATTCGTCATCACCGAATAACACAAACGCACTGCTCGAGCGAGAGCGCAGGTATTTCGATTATTCCAGAGCTCTAACGAGCTACAAAATCTCGAGATAAGACGGCCGAGAGGATGGATGGGACAATCGAATATCACCACATAAAAAAGATATGCAGTAATTTTACGAGTGGCACCGCGCGGTTTTGAAGGGCGGTTTAGAAGGGAGCTTTATTTAGCGAGGATAGAAATTCATATGAATGAAAATAATACAAAAATTATGTTTTCTATATAATAATATTTTTTCAAAAACCCAAACAATGGATCTCTTTAGGCGGCGACTACTCATTTTAAACATAAGCTGATAAACCACTCAACTGACAACGAAGAAATGCCGCAATACGAGAAAGTCAATCCATTTACCTATATTATAGCGTCAACATGTTTCGCATATAATTTGGGATAGATCGGAAATTTTCGAAGTAGACTTTCGATTATATATCATTCGAATGATCATTCCATTATAAAATTAATTCGAACGGTAACCTCTCGATTATTTAATTCATTCGATTATTCTCATCACTACGTATTATAGAAAAATGTATATAGTTATTGAAACTATGAACGTCAGATTTGGTGGTAGTAATTAAAATGTACATCCCCACCTATTTTTTTTATGCTGCACGATTTTTTTCTATGTTGACAGAATAATGTCCATCTGTTAAAAACAGATCCACAGTCACATGTATAGGTTTTGTGGTTGCTTTTGTGCTTGTTATACAGATGGACTGTTTCAAAAGTAATATTGCAGATGGAGCACCTATTGAATTGAAAATAAACATCATGAAAACTAAATTATTTTTTGCATGTTAAGATTCCTTCAACTTACTTGAGTGGCTCCTCTCCTCCAGTATGTAAATATAAATGATTTTTCAATTGTCGTTTCTTTTTAAATTCTTGCAAGCAAAGTGCACATTTAAACAAACTGTTACTGATATTATGATGTTGATTTGTATGTTTCTTTAAACTATACTTATTATTAAAAACTAGTCCACAACCACTAACCGTGCACATAACTTCGGATGACTTGTCATGTACAAAAGATTTATGTCGTTTCAAATGAGCAATATTTGTATAAGCCCTTTCACAATTTTCAACGTCACAGAAAAATGGTCTCTAAAAATCTATATCAGATAATTTGTTCATTTTTATTATCGGAAACTTACTTCACCAGTGTGTTTCCTTTTATGTATTTCTAGTCTACTTAGTTTTGTATATTTAGCGTTACAACCATTTTCTGGGCACTTATATATGTTATTTTCACATGAATCCATTTTCATAAAAAAGAAAACTAAATTTGAACACAAAAATTGCACGTTTTAAAAATTTGATTACGTGCCAATAAATTTGAGGTTAATTATTCGTCTTCCTCTTCGGTACAGCGTCTACATGAGTAGTCATAATAGCTACTTACTATATGATAAAACTACTAAACATAGAGCTACTTACTATATGTTTTGTGGCTACCACCAGCCAGATTAGTAGTTGCTTTGCTTATATGTTTTGTGTTTGTGGTTTGGTTTTTACAATCTTTGTAAATGTAATTTGTAGTAATAATATATACATAAACAAACATAGGGGCTCTTAGTGGTAGTGAATTTTTAAGAAGTTAGTTTTAAATTGAAATAAATGATATAATCTGAGCCTGTGGAGAATAATGCATGTTTTTCGATAAATTATAGGATTACTTACCTAATTTTTTTCTTGGACTTGAACATATAGCTGTACCAGCATAATGGATGAAGTAGACAAAATAATAATAGATTCACTGAAGCATTTAGAATGGTACGAGATTTCCTGTTAACCAATATGTAAGGTGTTTAAGTTGTGTGATTTTAGTGATTTCTGCGATGATATTGAACATTTGAAACAATTTGATGCGGATATGGTGGTTTCAGCTATATCAACCTGTTTAGAAGCAGTTACGCCAGACTTACATTTACCAAAAAAACTACCCCCGTCAATGAGTGCCAGACTTAATATTGCGTCTGATTTAGCACAACATATAAAAAACTTAGGTTTTAGAGGTGATATGGGTTATCAGACCATTTTATACTGTAATGAAGTGGAAGTGCGTAGAGTTTTAATGTTTTTAATTGAACGATTACCTAGAGAAACTATCAAAACCATACCCATTGAACAAACTGGTTATGTCCCAAGAATAGTGAAGAAGATTGAAGAGAATGTAAAAAATTCTTTAAAGCAAATGTGGATTCCTTCATCACTTTTACATTTCGGCATAAGGGAATGTGATGGTGGATATTTAGTTAATAGTTTAGGAAACAGCTGTCCGCTTCAAACCACAAATTTAGTTATTCCTGATTCAAAAATTAATGATGAAGGTTAATATCAACCTCTGTTCATTTGATTTACATTATATTTTAAATTATTTTCAGCTTTAAAAGAATATTGGATTCATAACATTCCCGATGTTACTAAGCAATGCCCTGCAAGAAAGTTGATTCCTTCTTTGCTTTTCAAAGATAATGAATTTGTAGGAAATCCTGATTTGTTAATTGCTATTAAAAACCAACGTGAAATTGTCACAGTAGTGGAGGCGCCTACTAATATAAAAATAGATTTATCCTCTGACGAGGTTCAGAAAGAGATTACAGCAGAAATAAACATACAAAAACCATCAGAAAATAAAATGGACGGCCTCTTAAAAGAAGTGGAAGTAATTAAATCACAATTTCTCTCACTACAAGAAGTTATTAAAAGTAACGAACTTCAGCTCTCTCAGGTAATGTATCGACACTATTTTTTGTATAAATGTGTTGTATATAAACATATTTCACTTTGTCCAGCATTATGTAGCTTAAATTGCTATTAGATAAATAGGTATAATATTTCATTTTAGCTTAGAAATATGAAAAGTGAAGAACAAGAAGTTTTAAAGGACACATTGTCAAAGATAAAATTGAAAACGAAAACTTTGGCTGTAATTAACAAAGAAGAAAATATGGCAAAGTTGAAAAATATTGTTCAGAATGCGAGTGACCGCCTTGTAGAACTGGCTAATCAATGGAATGAAGTGCAGACTCCTCTTTTAGATGAGTATAGATCTCTACAGAACACTTTAACGACAGAAGAAATAAAACTGCAAGAAGAACAACTGAAATTGAATAATGCTAAAGAGACTCATCAAAAGCTTATAGAGGATTTAAAAGAAAAATCAATTTTGGAGCAAAGTTTAATGGAAAAATGTCAACAGATGAACAGAAATAACAATAGGTGAGTAATATATCTTAAATGTGTACTTTAAAGTATGATATAATTTTTATATGTATTGTTTATAGGTCAGCATATACGAGGAGGATTCTTGAAATAATCGGCAATATTAGAAAACAGAGTAGTGAAATTCAAAAAGTGTTGAAAGATACGAAAGAGACCCAAAAAGAAATAAATAGTCTAACTGGACAAGTTGATAGATCTTTTACGTTATCTGAAGAACTGATATTTGCAGTAAGTAAATTTACGTTTTCTTGGTGGAAAATGGAAGTAAATTTTAATTCAGTTTATGTTTAATATAAACAATTATATCTAGATTTGTTTTAGGATGCCAAGCACGATGAAACAGCTAGAAGAGCATACAAATTATTAGCTACATTAAGAGATGAATGTAGCAGTATATTAAAGGCCGTTTCTGATTTAGGACTGGCTGAAAGAGAGTCCAGAAATTTGCAAGAGCAAATCGAAACTGAAAAGTCGAAAGAAGTTGCTGCTAAACTCAATCGTGTCTATACCGATTTGGAACAAATCCAAAAAGAAACTCAAATTTTATTAAAGCAGACTTAATTTTATTTATTATTCATTGTTGGTGAAATGTACACCATAACAATACTGTATAACGATATTATCTGAAAAGTAAAATAAACACGTTCTTTATAGACCTTTGCATATTTGCAATATCTTTATTTATACAAAATTCTTTATGAGAGAATGTATTTGTTTTATATACATACTCTCAAAAAAAAAAAATAAATAAAATTTTCAATTAATTTATTTACACCACAATATATAACTCATTAAGCAAGATTTTGTTTTGACTGTACCTCAGGAGGCACATATCCTACATCAATTTTTTTAGGTTTCTTCTTGTTACCAAACCACCTCTTGGGATAAAACACTTTTTTTGCTTCAATATCGAGTTCAATTTGTTCTTCGTTACTGAAGAACCACAGTTTTGTTTCCTTTTCTTTCAGTACTTTCTGTAGATCTTCGATACTTGTTAAACGTTTAGCTGTAAGAATTCGTTTTTTCTGTTCCTCCAAGGCATTTGCTCTGTCGCTCTCCCATTTTAAGAACAGTTTACACTGATTTGCAATGTCATTTTCAGATGTTCTCTGAACAGTTTCCTCAATATTTGCTTTCAGTAAATCTTGCACATTTTTAGATTCTGTATTTAAACTTTGAAGATCTTTTTTAGATTCATTACCTTCTGGTACTAAGTCAATAATTTCTTTATATAAAACAATATTTTTACTTCTGCACTCATGGACAGCTTCTTCAAGTAATTCAGGTTTATTGTATAAAGCTAACCCGAGAACATACAAAGATTTATATAACGGATCAATCTCCCCTTTTGTAAACATAGCTAATGTTTTTCCAACAATTTTATGAGAATCTTTTAAATCAAAATGATTGTCATCATAAGGATTTCTTAAAAATTTAACTCTAATCTTTACTTCCTCTTCGGGTTCTTCGGGTTTTGACTGCACTGGCCAGCCTTCTGGGTGTAAAAGAAAATTGTAGCAGTGCAACAGTGAAAGATTTTTACTTAGTGGATGATTAAATTCTTCTTGAAACATTAACTGACTAGCTACTCTTGCACCTGATGTAAAATCCTTACTTTTCCAGTAGGTATCTAACACTACGTTTGCAGTGTAAAAATTTAAAAATATTCCATAATTCAGTCTATCGTCTAAAGCTTCCAAAAAATCATTCTTATTTCCGTGCTGTATTAAAGTCCTAACTACGGCATGTGGTGTTGACTCTAAAGTATTTCCTGTATCTGAGCTTAATCGTAATTTGTGAACTACATCAAGTATTTCATCATTGTAGGAATCATCCGTCACTGCATTAACAAATATGTCTACATCAACAGCACTAACCTGCCGTGTTTTTTGGAATCTCTGATCTAACTCATAGTATAATTCATCCAAGTTTTGTTTTTGAAGAATTGGATTGTTTAACCTATGATCCCAAACTTCCCGACAGTAATATGCTTGCGACAAAAATGTCCTTTTGTTTACTTTTGAATAGACATTGTTTAAAATAATTTTACCTAATGTACTACGATTTGATAAAGAATTTATTGCTTTAAACATGTTTAAATCAGAATTAAAATTTTCAATATAACCCTACTTTTAGTTTGTTTCCTTTTATTCTGTTCTTCTTCTTCTAAGCAGGGTCAAGTCACACCAACTTTGTGTTGTAATGATGAAATAGCTGTGACCAACTGTGATCACAAAATAACTAACAAAAGATTATTTAATATTTATTTTGTTTGACAGATTGAGTGACAGTGACAGTGACAGAGAGGTTGAGGTTTTTAGTTAAAAGATGCGATGAATTTGTAAATCATCAGTATTCTTTAATCGTATATAAGATTACTAAAAAAGGCTTGCATATGAATTTGGGGTTGTTCAATCGTATGAACTTAAAGGTAATTGTCCTTATCGTAGTTAACTTGCAATACGTGAATTATATGCATTAAAAATTAACATTTATGACAGGAAAGCAGTGAAAGCAAAGGGATGTATTCAGAATGGACATCCCTAAGTTTGGAGGTGCAACAAACGGGCGAGGAGGGTCAAAGTGTTTTGGAAAAATTTGGATTACCCGTTAGCAAAGAAGTTACTTTAGGTTTAGTACGTCAACTTGCCAGTAATCTTGGATTAACACAGCCTCCTGAACCAAGCTCTTTAACTACAGACAGAGATGTAAGTGAAGTTATTTATACTTCCTAATTGTTTTGTTTTATTAAATACACCTTTAGGTTCAATGGTGCATGGAAGTCTTATGCTTCGGTTTATCGTTGCCACTTTCAGAACACGAAGCTATTAAGGATTGTGTAAATGTATATTGTGAGTGGCTTACAGCGCTGCTACCAAATCCCAAAGTTTGTGTTCCACAACCAATAATTGATGATCCCAACATTTACTCCAGGAAAATTATTGCACATTTGCACTATCTCTTCGTGCCCCGCAAAGGAGAAGGTAGTTAGATTTCATTCAAATATAAGTCAACTTTTTATTACTAACAATTATCTGATCTTTTATAACTTCATAAGTAATAATTTAGTAGTTAGTTATCTGTTGTGACTAATATCTCATAAGTATAATCTAATTAGGTGCAAACTGAAATTATTTACAGTTTCCTACGAGTATAATAACAAATTAATATAGTAATAAAAAATTGACAATATAGGTTCCACAATTCTTCACATTATCGTTTGCATGATCTATAGAAGTGTTAAAATAATTAATGCAGCTGTTATATTTTCTCCAAGACTGGCCTTTCTTATATCAGGACCTAGGTAGGCATTTTAAAAATATTTTTAGTAGGTACATGTTTTAGATTATTAGTAGAGCTCGGGACAGGCGGCTCATAACAAAGTTGTACTTGGTTCACTGTCACAGTTTTCATTTCAGTTGTATAGTAGATGTTCATAGCAGTCAGTTGGCTGCATAAACTACTAAGTCGTAGTCGCCATGTGGATTATAATAATTATAAGCTTAATCTGCATTAACTATTAGTGCAACAAAGAAATTGTAATGTCCAGTCAGTATTGCGGTAGAAGAAAAATGCAAAGTGTGTTGGAGAGAATCATAGATATATTTTGGAAGACAGAAAATTCTAGCTGGTACATGCTAGACGTTACCACCAAATATGTAAACAACTTCCCATATTGTCCCTTGCCAATAGTAGATATTGAACAATCAATATTCTTGCACAAGTAACAAGTAACTATTAAGTGAGATGTCAAAATTTCATTCCAAAAAACTTAGAAAAGTAACACTGACTTTGAGCCGCATATCTCTGAACTCTAATGATTAGAATCTGTACTGTGTCATTTCATATCATAACTTTTCTGTATTTGTTTTTATTTTAATAAATTTTCTTATTCTTTTTTTAAATTATATTGGAATATCAAATATCCCTATTTTCACATATGTTTTCTAGGATTTGATACAATAAACAGGCAGGCAGTGCTGTGTCACCGTGTTTTAAGAACGTTACAACAAATTGCACATCACTCAAAAGTACTAGAGAGAGAAACTTGGGAGGCCCTCCTTCTATTTCTTCTCGCAATAAATGATACTCTGCTGTCACCTCCCACAGTAAAAGATGATGTGGCTGATCAGTTATGCGAAAGGGTTTTAAGCGTTCTTTTTGAGGTAAAATATCTAATATTTTTTATTTGTAATAGTTACAGTTAATTTGAAACAGAAAAAATTGTTTTGTCATGTAACTTTTTTTTAACATGTTTTAACAGATCTGGTTGGTGGCTTGTGCTCAATGCTTTCCTTCTCCACCGCTTTGGAAGACTCTAAGAGAGTCCTGCATGAATTGGAGGCATAGAGTTGCCCTTATAGAACAGTGGAATCGAGTAAATTTAGCATTAACCTCCAAAGTCCTAATTTTTATGTATGGACCATCATTCCCGGAACTGAAAATAGGTACATTAAACTGGCCTTTTTTTTAACATGTTCTTTAATTATTTTATTTAGGCGAAGATGACTTAATTCCGCAAGGAATGTCTAATGACTGCATAGCCCAGAGTTGGTACAGGTTTTTGAACACGATCGGTAATCCTGTTAGTCTAACTAAGCCTGAAGTAAGTAAAGCTGTGACGATGTGACATTTTGATTTTCTATTTTCTATTCTAGGTCATCAGTCAAACTCAAAAATTCTTGCAGTTTGCAATAAGTAACGATGAAGTGGTGGATCCGTGTCAACATCCTTGTTTGCAGGCGTTGCCTATAATTTTCTTGAAAGCAATAAAAGGCATTGCGGGACAAGTTGACGCATTCTTGGGTTTGTATAAAATGAATTTGTGTACAGTGAATAACCTTTGTTTTTTAAGGATATGTCACAAACGTATGCATTTTGAAAAATTGGGCCAAACTTTAACGTGAATGTTACTCATCTTTATATCTCTGGAGTTAAAAAAATATATTTGATTTATTTTGTAGTAGTCACATTTTTTAGAACTCAAAAATTTTTTTTGCATTATATGAAGTTTGTGACATATCTGATTATTTCCTGTGCTCATATTGTTTCGTCTGTCCTTCAGCAAGGGTCTTTTGGGTACTGAATATTCTCCTATGTTGGTTCAGGTATTGCACAGCCTATATGGTGGGATACTGTGGTGACAGGTGGCAACACTGATAAGAGCAAAGAGATTCCACCAATTACGCACTCCCCCACTCCTCCAACTCAACGCAGATTAGCGAAAAGTTTTAGTGTAGCACCATCTTCTGTTAATAAGGGTAGTTAGAATTTTACCTTCATAAATTATTCTCTTTCCTAACGTCCTATCAAATTGGTTACAAAAGTGCCGTTAACGTAAATATACCAGTTTACGTCTCTCGTTTCTATTTGTACTTTAAATATCCATTAAATAATAGTTTGTTTCCAAATGGAATAGGTCAAGAAAAGAAATCTTGCAATAGTGCATGTTGTACAGGAATTTTTACTTTCCCTATATTTCACATTTTTGTTATACACTAAATTTTTATCGTATATGATACACTTTTGTAAGAAAAAGAATGCAGATGTAAGTAAAAATTATAAGTTTAAGACGTTATAAGTTGCTTTTGAAAGAGTAAGTATATTCTCATATTTCGACCCCAGAAATTTTTATTTACAGTTTTAATTAGATATTAAATCAATCAATATATTTTTTTAAAGAAAAAATGTTATAGCTATGAAGTAGGTACTTAAAATTATACAGGGTGTAACTTTGCATGGGGGTCATACTTATATACCTTTAACCTTTAGAAGCATACATTTGTTTTTACAAATTGTGTTGTGAAAACTGATTTCTTTTGGTAATTTTCATATTCTGACGCTGAACAGCCTAATGTAACCACCTCAAACTGTGCATGTAAGCCATGAGTGCTTATCCAATTGAGAGCTACATCATCCATTTTCAAATGTAGCAAGTATCACTTTAAATTTTACTATAAAATTCAATTAATAAAACAAAATTGTGCTACACAAACTCTATTCCAACTTCAGTAAAAACTAAAACTTTACACTGAAAGTTGTGAAATTATCTATTTTATTACAAATGACTTCTCGTAAACCGATAAACTGAAAACAAATAAACATAATAAAATGAACCAGTGACATATTTGGGCATTCTTGTTTCACCAAAATAATATATATATTAGAACAAATGCTAACATATTTTTGTGAAAAACAAAGTATTATAGAAAAAGTCTAGCAAATTTGAACCAAATTTTATTCTTTGTATTATCACTATTATCCTGCACATAAATTACTTTAAATGTATTACAGTACAAGTACCATCTTTACATTTTGTTTTCAGTAATTTTTAAAGTTTATTTATCGATCTTAATTTAATTATTTTCTTCTTCAGGGAATGGTATGGCATATAATTCCACAGTTATCTATTTTAAGTTCTGGCACAAATCAACGAAATTCGTAAAAAAGTTGAAATTATTTGAACTTTTTTCAAAAGGAGGAGGGGCCCTAAGGCCGGTTTTTGGCTTAATTTATTTTTGGCGGATAAAATCGAAAAAGAAAATATCAATAATTATACATACATGTTTGTGCATATTTGATTAGCCACTTTGAATTTCGTGATTCTGAATTCATAATTGTAATCACTGATCCAATAAAGTTTCTATAAACAAATATTTGAGGATTATGAAGATCTCTTTAATTTTTTTTGTCCGCCATATGGAATACATCATTTTGAATTTCGTAATTCTGCCTTCAGATTCATAATCAGAGACCCAAAAAACCCAACTACACAAAAATTCATGCATTTTAAGGACATTTAAATTTTCTTGTCCACCATATTGGATCCGCTATTTTGAATTTTCGAATTCTGAGACCAGATTCGTGATCAGCAACCCAAAAAACTCTTCAGATGTAAGATTCATAGGAATTGAATGTCTTTCGCATCTCTAAGCTCTTTAAAGATTTGTCTTATAAGCCAAGGTACTTCGCTACCGCGTCCAATCCGGAATATTGCGGTAAATATCTATTAAGATATTCTCTTATTTTTGGGGTATAATGTACTGTCATTTTATTATGTCGATGCCTACTACTTTGGGAAAACTAATTTTTTAATTTAATTCCCGCCGAATCTCAAAAACATAAAACATATGTATCTCGAAAACGGTTGAGTTTATCGATTTGTAACAAGTATATCTTTTTTTATTTAGAATTGAATTTAGTTCAATCATTTCTAATTAAAAAATTCAAAATTGTAAAATACAAAATGTTAAACATATTTTTACAGTGATAGGACAGTATATCTAGCGCCCTCTAGATGTGACCCCAAACTGTTTGCATATTCGTATTTGCCACCTCAAAAAACGTAAAACTACAAATTTTCAAAACAATCGATCCATACATACTTAAAATATAGCAAGAAATCTAACACCCTGTAGAACGAAATGTAGCAACAATTCATTATGCAAGTTTGGCTCAATCACTATATTTTGACGTTAACAATCTGCCATTATAAATCCTATAATTCTATTAGTCTGTCACTTGTGGTCTGAAACTTCTTAAATATTTCTAATATTGCCAGAATATCGCGATATTTAAGGTCATGACAAAGAAGCCATTTTTTTGGCACTAATGTCCAAAGTACATAAGGTCGAAAATCTATTAGAAATATTGAGAAATTCTTCATGACAATGTGCACTATGGGGTTGCGTATTATTTGGCGTATGTGACGTCACTACTAAAAAGGTCTATTCCTAAGGTGATGTCTTGTAGTTATAATTTGCCGGAAAATTCAAAATATAGAAATATTTCCTGAACAGGATTCTTCCCTTCCCGGAGAGTTCCCATTTTGGAAATTTTCCAATATGGAAACTTATCAGTAGCCCATCTCTACTGAGCCCCCACATAAAGTTACACTCTGTATATTAAAGCTTTCTGTAAATAATATTTTTAACTATATCTGTTATCATGCTAAAAGCAATGTCTCATTACTCTTAATTTTAGTATTTCTACAGATAATGAATAAACTTTATGATTTTTGTAATAAATATTACAAAGCTAGGAAAATTTCATTAGTTATATGAAACGTATTATAACATTGTGTCAAGAATAACAGAGTACATTGCTTGTTTAATTCTAAAATCATTTTTTTATAACGTGATTCAAGCAATGTAAACAAATTCAGAGAAAGATAGTTCTTTAAAAATGTTGCAAGTTTGTCTGATAAATCTGGATTTATATATTACGTTTCACCCTATATGAAGATATTTAGAAATGTAACATTTTCTTTAAAAATTTTAACACCTGTATATCAAAAAGTTGAGTACGTTTAAATATGTATATGACAAAATATCTTTAATATTGGATGTTGAAAGAACTCCTTCATTTTTGACATGTTTTACAATATGTATCGACAAGTAATTTAAAGCTTTGTTTATTTTAAAAATATTATTGACAGTTTATTTCTTGTAAACGTTAGGTATCCCCAAAGCATCTTTAATAGGTCTAACCACTAGCAGAAGCTCAGCAGTTCCACAAACATCAGCTCCCAATTCTGGTCCTTCATCGACATCGAGTATATCATGTAAGTAAAATAAAAAATAAGTTTTTTAAGGTTTGTTAAGATTTGCCCATCCGAATTATAATTTTTTAGCTTTAGCATCGTTTGGTTCAGAACCAAGAACTCCCTTGGCACCTGGTAGAGCAAAATGCAACACGATTTTACATCTATTTGGAGAATGGCTGTTCGAAGCAGCATTTATTGGTTGCGAATTGCCACAAAGTAAGTCTCAATAAAATCAGTTTGTTACACAAGAATTTTAGTTGGAAGTTTTCTCTTCTACTAATTTGTGCTTTCTATATAAATATGAAGTATAAAGTAAGATTTCAATTTATTTTTAGGACAATTGAGCGAACAAAGTAAACGACCCAGTTCCATCGTAATGGATAGTAAGTCCTCCCTAAACTATTCCCAACCAGGATCAATGAGTGACTCAAGTGAGTTGCCACCAGGATTAACTATCGACAAATATGAGAGCGGCAGAGCAGAGGCGTTAGGAACACTATGTAGAATAATGTGTGCGAAGAAAACCGGTGAAGAAATTTTACCAGTGTATCTGGCAAGGTAACTGTAATATCCTGACAAAATTGATATTGACGTCTTTATAATTTATGTTGGGTAGGCAGTAATTAAAAACTTTATAGGTTTTATCTGGCGATTCTGCAAGGTCTGAAAGTGCCCCCGAACAAAGAATGTGGGGAATGTATGGCTGCGATTTTAATAAACTCGGCCGATCTGTTTCATTTAGATTTAGACGGTGTTAGAATACTAGTGCCCGCTTTTATTTCAGCCCTGGAAGTAGTGTTGCCTGATAAAGATTTAAAATTGAGTGGCAATGTAAATAAGGTAGAACTAAGAAAATCATCTATACAACTGTTGTTGTCCATGCTAGTGTTACCGTTACATTTCCAAAATATCATGATTAAGGAGCTTATAAATACCGGTAAGTATTTTATACTTATTTAAGAGTTGCATGTAGTTCATTTGTATTCTGTTCTGTAGGGTCAAATGAAAGGCCGATAACTTTTGGTCAGCTCAAGCCTAAGTTAATGAATCTTCTAATGAATGCGTTGCAAATCGAATCTGATCCACAGAATACTCACATGTTGTTGGGTGGATTGTTTTTGTGCGTGCAAGATTCTGCGATTTATGAAAAAGTGGAGCAAGTTACTCAGCCGTCTACTGAGACTTCCTCTAATTTACTCAGTTCGGGTGAGAGGAGTTTACATAAAATATTTTATATTATCCAGGGTGTTGTGATACTCGCACATATGAACAGTAGTTCATCAATATACATGTAAAAGGGTGCAAAGAGCTCTTATTTACCATTTATTTTATAATTTCTTTGGATTTTACATAATTTTCTTGATACAGTGTGTTGAATTTTAAGAAAATCACCTTTACTAAATCATCTCTAAAGACGTTTGATGCAGAATGATGAAATTTGAATGATTTGAAATTAAAGTAAATGATTGATTTAATTGATATTAATCAATCTACTGAATTTAAATGTAATTAGAGAAGACCAGTAGTCAATTTCCTTAAAAATCCCAGAAATTCAACTTCATTAAATATTTATGAAAAGTTTGATTACTACTTATATTTCCTTTTAGTGTTTGCAGAAAAATTATTTTTGGGGTTTTCAAGAGACTAACTGCCGGTATTTTGCCATAGTACATGTATTTATATCCAAATTCCAATTCCAAAGGAAACACCTTTTTTCTATTTTCTATTTCTAAATTTGTAAAATGCATGGAATGGATTTTTTCATGACTTAGTTCACAGGAAAGTAATATTTCTACAACTTATGACGTCTTGGCTTTAAATGTATTATTAGCCTAAGTTTCATCATTCTGCATCAAACATCTTCAGAAATACTTTTGAAATGGTAATTTTTTTAAAATTCAATATACTATATAACCTTTTTGGCTAAAAATTATTCAAAGAATAGCCCCTTTAAGTTTGTCAACATACGTAATTAATATACTGTCTATATGTGCGAATATAATATCGTGTGTTACTTGTATTAGTGAAATAGAGTCGGCAGCCTAAAGCAGTGTTTAATGAAAAATTTAATTATTTAGTTAATATTAACATAATATCCATAGCTTTTTGCAATTTCTAAAATATTTTAGTGTATCATTAAACATTTTGTTTGCTATTTATTTGCTTTAAAATTTTTAAAAAATGGTTTAATCCTGTGTTAATTAAACCGTTTTAACTAATTTTGGTAATCGATTATACTTGTATAAATAATTTTTGAAGATACAAATTTAATGAAGTTAATTTTAGAATACATTTCTATAAACTTTCTAATTAATTTTAACGGAAATGATCTTTCTTTGACATATTATGTGAATTCTGCTAATGACTCAGAACAGTAATTTCAGATTTGTTTCTATGTATATTTGATTGTAATAAAAGTGGCACTTAAAAAGCATGATATTTTGTGTTGATGTATCACCAAAAAGTAATTTTTGGAATTTCTAGTGGAAGTGATGCACTGACCAAAATTAAAGCACAGTAAATTGACTATTATTTACTCATATTCTTTTTTGTTTTCATGAATTTATTTGTTACTTTTGCAATTTTTTGTATTGCCTTGCATTATGGCTTGTATAGCTTCTGATTCGGCAAGTATGGCCAGCATGGCTAGCAGCGATCGTTCTACTCCTGATCAGTTTGGCCCTTCTGAATATGATCCACTGTTGTCGCCCATAGGTATGTTACACTTGTTTTTTTTTTTGGGCGTTTGCCTTTTAAGAACTTTCTTTTTTTGTAAATCGATCAAACATGTAATATTTTTGACAAAATGCATCCAGGTATACGAGGGGTACTAGCAAAAATATCTACCTAACAATGTTAGAAACAATTGACCAAATATTGCTTAGAATAGTGAATAGACATCACAGTGTCATCGAATTTTTAACAAATTGTTACAATAAGAATATCCTAAAAGTATTCTGTGAATGAAAGATTGGAGAATATGGAGATTAAGCTCTATCATATTTTAAAATAACATTTTTGACGAGGCAGTTTCGATGGTATTGTAATTCCATTGAGAATGATCCGGGAAGAGGAAGGCTTTTCGATATAACCAATCGTGATATTTGCAGGAAACTGAAAACAACGGTTTTGAGATCATCATGTGAAAGTGTTTATAATTGCTAGAGTTTAAATATATCCGAACCAAATGTTTCATATGTTAAACTAAGTGTGAGTAAAATTTCAGCAAGGCAGATTGCGAAATTATTGACGCCAAACAAAACTTCTTCATCTCTGGCTTCAAAAAGCCCAGACACAATTTTTGATTGGGTATTTCCCTGCAGTCTTTTGGAACCAAGCAGAAATTATTATCTTCAGATATATTCGAGGATATATTGCAGAAAGCACTATAACAATAGCAGGTGTATGTTGCAAAACATTAATAAAATTACAATAATGTTCCTCCTTCTTCACGACAACCCATCTTCCAAGACTGTAACTTCTCTGAACTGGTCCAACTACCGTATAGTCTGGATTTGGCTCTGACTTCTTTTTATTGAGAAATTTGCAGAATCACCTTAGGAGACATCATTTTGCAGACAATAACCATTTAAAGGCTTATATTGATGTCTGTTCTGCAGGCCAACAAGAACAATTTTGTTTTCTAATGGAAGAAAGTTTGAACTTATTTCATTCTTAGGGAGAAAACTTTTGTAGTACCTTTCGTAAATGACGAGAAAAAATAAAACCTCTAGTTGAATTTAACATTCAACTGGTGGTTTTAAGGCTTTCACAGCCTGTGCTGATATTTAAAGTACCATAGCTTTTCAGTTGTTATGCCATGTCCTATCTACACGCTGGATACACAAAAAAAGTTGTAATGATTTAAAAAAAATTTTGATTTGAATATAGCATTTCCTAGATAAAGTTGTTTTTTTTTTATGGAACACCTTGTATCTTTAGACAATTGAAAGGAACATCAAAAGATTTTTTTCAAATATATATTTTATATAACGGTTTTCGATTTATTACACATTTAGCCCGAGGAACCATATGGGCAGGTCAAAGATTCTTAGTTGTGGCTAAGGATGTGAAATTCCGTAATTGGCAGTGATCAGGTACATACGCAACAGAATAACAACCCGAGAAACCATGGTACAACTAATGATTCATGCCTTAACTGAAATTATATTGAATGCAATTAAACTTAAAATTATTGTATTTTAATATGCTTTAATTAAATTTTCAGCAAAACATTTAAACCTATTTACCATTTGTCTATTCTTATTTCATTGTAGCATTTATCATATTTTTATTAACGTAAGTATTTTGTATCAGCATTTTTTGCTTGTTCCTCGACAAGGCATCTTCTTTAAATTATAATATCTAAGTATTCTAATTAATTTGCATTTTGTTACATTTTGTGTTTTTTATCCATAGAATCGAACCATATGTTTATTTCGTACCATTTCAATATTTGTTTTTCAAAATACTTATCAAAATTTTTTTTAGATTCTGCTCATGCTCTCTTTGTTAGAGCTACGTACTTGGTGTGTCATCGTTTGATATCATCTTGGAAAACAGATTTAAATGTGTCACTAGCTGCATTAGAATTATTATCTGGGTTGGCTAGGATTCATATTAAGGGATCAGGTAAGCAATCTATTATTATTCTTTTATACATAATTACTTACCAATAACACTTACACACTTAAAAAAAAATAGAATATTGAGGATACCGTTTGTACAACAAAGTCTTCTAGGAAAACAAAATATTTTAAATATGAGAAAACGCTGGCAGATATTTTTAAATCTTGTTTCTTTTTTACAAAATAAATCATTTATTTGATTTCAATGAAATATACTTAAGGACTGAATTGAGGTGACGATCGTATTCATTTTCCTTATTTTTTGTTTTAAATGTGACAAATGAATTGTAGAAATTTAGTGCAATTCCATATAAGCCATTATTTTTCGGGAAGTTAGGTCGTCTATGGCCAGGGGATAGGGAAATGGATCTAAAAATTCACATGGCAAAAAAAAGGTAATTGTCACTTGAACTTATGTTATAATTGGGTAATAGAAGTAATAAATAATAATGATAAATACATAATTTGTCTGATCTAAGGGTGTTGATCACAATTCCCCTGGGATCCTGATGAATTTTGACAAACGTCAAAATTAGTGGGAAAAGTCAGCCCTTACTTATCTGATAGTCTGATAGTATAGCTTATATAACTAATGGTCTACATTAATTATAATAAGCTGTGTGAAAATACCAAGTGTGACGTTTATGTATTGTTGCATGCAGCTAGAAAACTGACAGGTTTGTTTGTAGGAATATAGTATTATGATAAAAAGTGTTTGCTTGATTGTATTTTCCAAATATATTAGAAATTTAACATGTAGTTTGTCATTTTTTGGTTTTTAATTGGTTTTATGCAGTAAAAAGAGATACAAAAATATGACGATGATCTAACTTCGATAGATATAAGTAATTCTAGTATACAATTTGTCAGTAGAGTCATATATTTGCGCTTGATTTCGATAAAATTCAGTAGAATATTGAAGAATAACAATTATATTTTATAAGTATTTCATTGTCCACTTAACTTTTTATATACAGGTTCGGAAAGTCCCCATGGTACATCGGCCGTTACGTGAGAGCGATAAAGTAAGCCATAGAAATCCGTGCGATAGACAAGGATGGTTACATTGAAGACTTTTCATAATCTGAATAGTCACTCCCACTTCTAACCCGAAACTGGCGGTGACTATTCAGATTATGAAATATCTTCACTATAGCCATCCTTGTCTAGTCTATCGCACGGATTTCTTTATTTTGTCACTCTCATGTAAAGGCAGATGGACCATGTGGATTTTCCAGCCCTGTATAGTTGCCCTTATGGAAATGATCCTATATTATATGTATGTTATTATCATTGACATTTTCAAATATGCCTATTTTTTTAAATTTCTAAACACTTATCAAAGTTGCACTTAGTTTGTCTTTGATCTAAGCACTAAACTTTGACATAAGTATAATTGAAAAAATAATAAAAATCTTAAAATTTCAGATGCAATGGAATGTAAACGGGCAGTTAAATGGTTATGTGATTACATTGTATATCAATGTTCAAGACCACCACCCGCCCATTCCAAAGATTTACATTCTACAATCGTAGCAGCTTTCCAGTGTTGCTCTGTGTGGCTACTAGAACATCCGTATTTATTAAGAGACAAAGATTGCCTCACAACGGTAATATCAAACAGATTTTTTCAGTTACTATTTCTAAAACGCAAAAACATTTAGGTTTTAGAAGTTGCAGAACTGGGAGTATCGGGTACTAAATCAGTCGGAAAACCCGGAGAACCCGTGAAGATGAAAGAGGAGAAAGAGCTGAAACCTGCCTCTTTGAGAGTACGTGATGCTGCAGAAAACCTGTTAACATTAATTTTGGAACAAGTCGCTTATTTCCCGAGTGAGTGCGGCCCGGAATCCATTTCTTCGTTATTAGATGAGGTGTCGCTTCTGAAGCATTGCAATTCTTGGCTGACTGGCCGCAATGATCAGTCGGCAGCTGTTGAAAGGTTTAGGTATTTTGTTACCGAGGGTTCTGTTATGTTGGCACTATTGGAAGAACCTCTAGGAAATGATCAGGTAAGTACTTGATAAAAAAAGAAAGTTCGTTTTGATGTAGGTACATGTTTTATTGAAAAAAATGGAATAATGTTCATTACATCCTCTTATTGGTAATTAATTCAGTCACACTAATCATTTTTTAAATTACTGATTGCTTATAGAAGGTAGTTTCTCATTATAAATTATACTGCAACCAGAATAATGAAAACATGTCGTTTGTTATATCTCGGACTCACATCGTTGTGGAATATACATATTTTTCGTAATCTTAATTTATGTAATTTACTACAATTGTTTTATCTAACGGAAATATAAAACTGGGGAAGATATTCTAAAATGTATGAATTAAATTCCTGAGTTTGGAGTAACATTGGAATGAAATATTCAAGTAAATCATGTAGAAGAGTTTTATGTTTTTTACGACCATTGTGGGGAGCATTCACATGTAACAATTTGTCTGTGTAAACCCTCACAATTTGTATTCCTCTGCCCAGTCTTTTAACTGTCTTTTGTCTTGTACAGTTCGAAAATTTGTTCAAACTTTGTATCTATATGTAATGTTTTATCTGCAGTGTTTTGTTGACAAATCCTGTAGTAAGCCCTAACATGTCGATGCTGCTTTAAGCCTATAAATTTTAGGACCCACAGCCTACAGTTACTCTGCTAATTCGGGGACCGTTTGGCAGGCATGCGTGGACTATGCAACTCAGGCATTTGCCGAGACACAGATCGGGTACAAAATACCACGCACATAACGCCTGTCGGCCAGTGGTTATGCAGGATACCCCCGTTCGATCCCAGGTCAAGCAAAAATACTTCCCAGATAGTGTCGATAGAGTGATACAATGTAAAGTGTAAGTACGATTTCTTTTTTGTTGCGAGTGCGAGGTTATTTTCGAATAACTTTTTAGAGATCAGTCCATTCCATCTCTAGAATCAGTATTATCCCAAGACGAGACCATCAGTAAAGAAACGGAGATGTTATCTCAGTTGATGGGAAGACAAACAGCAGTCGAATTGAATATTGCTCAACTGCAGTCGTCTACGGTTTTAGAAGAATGTACTCCGCCCCCAGCTTGTCATGATTTTCAAACTGCTAGGCTGTTTTTGTCGCATTTTGGTTTATTGTCACTCGATGACTCAGAGGTAAAGAAGCACTACTTTTTTTATTGAATAAAAATAATGCTTCAGTTTTAGGAGGAGAATGGATCTACTTTATCGGCCATCGACAGCAGTGCTACAGAATTTTGCAGAGATTTAAGTCTTCTCGATAATATGAGTCCAAGGACTTGCGATACGGTGCATATATTTTACGTAAGATCTCAGCAAACTCAGGCGCAAGACATTGTAAGCAACATTCTCAATCAGGGTAGTATTTCTTCTTATTTTTGGGAATTTATACACAGCTTAGGGTGGCCTGTTGAAGTTAACAAGCATCCAGGTAAAACAATGAAATTACTTCATATTCGGTTTACATTTTTGCTTTTTCTTTCAGGATGGACTGGCCACACATCAACTAGTTGGAAAGTTGTAACGGGTGCGGAACAGAGTACAACACCAAAACAAAAATTGTACGATGGATCATCTCATGTTCTTTACTGGGCAGATGCTTGCTCGGAAATAGCATTTGTTGTACCCTCTCAGATAAAATCTTCTGAATCTCAAATGGATCAACCTAGTTTCAATACAAGCAGTTTGTCTTGTAAGTAGTTTAACCTTGATTAAAATAATGCTATTTTCTCCTAAATCAAAATATTGGTACATTGATAAGTTTTTCGTTTGGACCAAATTTTTTTGTGGTTATTGTATTATTTTCGAAATAATACTTCGTTAAAAATTTATGCTGGAGATGAAAATATTAGGAACAAATTTTGTAAATTGAAAATACCTTAAAAATATTAATATTTAAATAAATCAGGATTTTTTTGGTATACATAGCTTGGAACGATAAAAGTTGGGGCGACTCCAACAGAGACAAGAGAACCTTAAGCCTCGATTTGGAAAAGCAACCCGTTCCTCCAAAAAGAGCTGGGCATCGGTCTAACATACACCCTCACACCAATACAAAAATAATGGTTGTCTGGTTGGAAAGTTTTGAGGACCATTTAAATCTTCCAATAGGTAACATGAAAGTAATAAACGAAGTATAATGAAATAACATTGATTTTGAATTAGGCGATCTTTTAAATTGTATGAACACGGGCCTTGAAAGAGGAGCAGTTCCTAAAACAAGCGACGTTCTGGTGATCTATTTGCATTTATTATCTACCGGGCTTTTAAGGATTCATTTGCAAGGACCTACAGGGCGTGTAGGATTAGCTTCGCCATTGGTGGATGGAATGGTCGTTAGTAGAAGAGCTCTAGGTCCTCTTGTACGTTACACTGCCTTGAATATGGCTCGTAGAAGGCGACTAGATTCAGACAGGTAAATATTGAATTTAATAAGATAGCCGAGAGAATTAAAAATACGATTTTGCAGTTATCAGCCTCCACATGTCCGCAGAAGACTAAAAATCCAGGAAATCGTCCAGAAATATAAAAGGGAGATGAGTAAACCGGAATTATTAACGTACTTATTTAGTAGCACTTAAGTAATAAAAAATCCTATTTATATTTAATAATTTATTATTAACGTTGATGTTGCTCTTATTTGTTAAGTTATTTTATTATTAAAAATAAAAATTTGAAGGTAATTTATGAGTTTGTGATTTTCCTCTTTCTCATGTTTGCGAGCCAGTCTTGTAATTGCTCGTGAGGCTGCTGAGGGGCCGGCAAATAATAATGTTTGGGAGGTTTTCCTTCTTCCAATCTTACAAAGTAATGGCAATGGAAGTATTCAACGACTCCAAATCTAGCTCGGGCGTGCCTTCGTATGCCTTTTACAACATGCCCTTTACTAACAAATGACTCGGCTGAAATAACATTTGATTAAAGAATATTTCTAATGCATTTTTATAAATTCAATATCGTTAATTTTTAGCAACACTAAAATTCATGTTCTTAAAACCTAGTGTCATGGTTAAGAACAAAATTACGGGAGTTCGCACATAATAAGTATCTTTTACATTCATCGATAAAATTGATTGTTAGAATTTGTGACAATGAACCATAATACTGCTGGTTTATTAGTTTTACATGTAAAACACAATTCTCAATATATGTCTGTTCACTTACCAACCCACATATTGCTAGGGAATTCGACATTATGCTCCTTAACAGCCAGTTCCTTTGCCTCCTCTATAGTTTCTCTTACGTCTTTGGCTCCTTTTTTTGTAACAAACTTAAGTTGTTTAATTGCTTCATCAACCGGCATTCCTCTTATAAAAGAGGCTATGTACCACATCTTCCATGGACTGTACTTGATGTTTGTTCGTTGATGACATACAAACTGAAATAAAAGTGTAAGGTAACTATTGTTCTAAATTTTTGTTAATATCTTACAGCTGGTCTCGGTTCTTCTTCAGGAGACTGAGGGGGATAAACCTCTTTATTATATTTTAAAAACTTTTTAGGTTTACTATCATTGTGCCAAGCTGAGTTTGATGGGGAAGTATGTAGTTTTTCAGCTTGAATTATTAATAAGGGGTTACAATGCTTTATTCCTAATCTTAATGTGGTCTGAATATTTATCAGTACCATAATTTTGGGTTAATATTAAAAAAATGGATTACTTTCGTATTTTACACAAATTCTAATTCGTAACCTAACATTTCCTTGAATATAGGTTAGGTTAATTTTCTTCTTCATCTTCTCATATAATAACAGTTACCAAATATAACTATTAACTTTGTTAAAAAGTTTACGTACCAAGTACGTACCTCCTGTGAAATTTATTTTACATATAAATTGTTTAATTCTTTTTACCATCCAATATTTAATATAATTTTCCATGCCTTTTATCTATTTATTTTCAAGATGATCTTTATCCTATGTTACTATTGATTCCACTGATACCTATTTAATTAGGGAAAATAAATAGTAATTGTGCTATATAAGGAAATCTTTATTTATTATTTTACAATATGGTTGCTTGGTTTATAAAAAATATATTTCACAAATTAGCTATAACTTTAATGGTTGGTTTATAAAAAAGTATTAGTCCTAACTTCGCCTTAACTTAACCTTAATCTTAGTCCTAAAAATTTAAATGTACAAAATGTAGTGTATAGAACTAGGGCAAGGTTAAGATTTTTATAAACCGATACATTACATTCTGTACATTTAACTTTTTAGGACTAAGATTAAGGTTAAGTTACGGCTAAGTTAGGACTAATACTTTTTTATAAACCAACCATAATTTGTACCGATTACGTTATTAGAATATTACAAAAAAAATGATTTTAAATAAAATGTACTAATATCCTCTTACATATGATACTATATTGGCAAGGTTTTTTAAGGGTGGGTGAGATACGTAACCCACAGTGTTATTTATCTTAAATGTCACTACTACTCAGTGCCTTCTGGCATAAAGTATTATTTGTATCAACTAGTACTGCAATTCACAACTACTAGGTTCAAATCTTGTCTGACTGGTGGTTCTACTGATGGTGAATAATCGAATAATCGCTTTACTAGATATTGCAGATAACACTAAACATACATTTATTTAATTTTCCATTTATTTTATGTTTATGAAAGTAACTTATTATCAGTTAATTAGTTTTTAGTAATGTAAACATATAAATAAGCATTATCTCCTTAAGATTATAGTTGATTAGCATTTTCCTTAGATTTTCATAAATAAATATTATTTAAGTATTTTAATAAAAGACTTGTTAACTTATACTGGATTGAGTTTAGAATCGCCCCATTTGAAGTCTTCTTGTGTCATGAAATACACCATCCAATAGCACAGATTGAAGAAACCAAACGATGCGGGAAACAGTATCCTCGCTGCCCTGTCGATCAAAGAAACGCTATTTACGTGCCTAGTGTGCCCATGTTGAGAACCTAAAAGTTGTGAGCATTAAAACACAATAATTATTCTTTACCAAATTAAAGAAGGATAAGTAAAATTTCGTTGTATAAAAAACCGAAAAGAAATTTTCAGACAATCAAATAAATAAAACAAAAATTGAAAGTATTTTGTAATGACTAAAGGCACATACAATCGGCAATTGACAAATTTTTGGATATATAAGAACCATTTTCGTTGATGTGTAAAATTTTATTCACGTTAAAGTAAATTCCGGTAGAACAAGGAGGAAAACTATTGTTACCATCGTTTTCAGTTTGTCAATGTTTTTATTTTGATTTAGGTAGATACAGCTCGACCAAATTCATTTTATCCGCAAGTTTCAGATGCGCAGTGACAACGTTACCACACTAGCACCGGAGCTCATTTTCTGTCTAAACGTTGAACAGTACAACACCGGTACAGTCTGAGAAAAAAAGTTTATTTGGACTATGGAATTCAAATCACTTGTGAATCGTAAAGTGTAAATTAGTGAAAATGAACACATTATCCAATATTTAAACTTATGGCCGAAGAAGTACAAAATGGCGATATATAAATTTTTTTTAGGAACTGCATGAAATAGTTGCACGGCCAGAAGCAAATTTAGATGTCTTAGATCGTGTAATGCTACGAAGGACCTTTTAAAATTGGTACATTTAAGAAAAAACGGCACCTTTATATAGACGTATCCACACTAGCGGCAGGGAAAATTTGCGCAAGCTTTGCATACTATTAGGTATACAGTGTAGGAAAGTATCGATGGTCTATCAGAAGTTACGTGAGAGCGATAAAGTAAGCCATAGAAATCCATGTGATAGACAAGGATGGCTAAAATGAAGGCCCTTCCACAAATAAGATCCACTTCTTATTTGTGGAAGAGCGAAATGGGCGTTGACTATTAGATACCTTCATTATAGACATCCTTGTCTATCACATGCATTTCTATGGCTTACTTTATCGCTCTCACGTAACTTCTGATAGATCATCCGTACTTTCCTACACTGTAGTATTCCAGTGGCGCAAGACAAAAACCAACCGACAATTATGAATCATGAGATTCGAGTTTGAGGTTAAATCGAACAAGACGGGTTTGATCAAGCTGTACTTGAATCCTTTTTGTTTATAGAAATGTAGAACTAAGCATTTGATCTTCAATGCGTTGTCTGTTTTTCATATTTATCCGTATTGTTTGAAAATTCAAGAAATACTTATTCCATATTTAGAATATGTAAAAAAAGTTTTTTTAACAGAAAAGAAAACAGTTAAATGCGATTTTAACTAAATGAAATTATGTGAATTGTACCTGGACCTTTAGAGGCTGCTTCTCTTTGCCGCTGTTTCCTAAATTTATCGTCTCCCTTCAAACAGTATAAGAATTGCTTCCATTTAGGCAATTTATTCTCAGTTTGAGTAGTCCTTTCCATGGTCAAGCGAATTGGCGGCGGCGGTGGGGTAATTTGAGTGTTGGAAGTGAGAGAGGTTTTCCGGCTTTCATAATGCAGAGAAGAATTCTGAAGTTGCAACATAATTAGGAGTTAGAACACATCTAATAATTCGTTGTAATCAAGAATTGTAGTGCGGATATAGATTAATATTTATACAGTGCGTATAAATCCGACATGTAATTTCTATTAATGACATTTACTTCTCATCTAGACACATTATATGAAATTATTAAAATCGAGCATTTAAAAAGAAATAATTACTCTTACATTACATTGTATTGAATTTATTCTGCACTTTTCGGACGCACTGGATGTAAGTACTCACATTATAAATAGGGCAAATAAGCGAACTCCTTCGCCTTCTACTACCATCAGTGTTACTGTTCGCAAGATGGACTAAATCAGTAGCCGTGCCACCAATGAACTCCTCCTCTGAATCCACACAATCTTCCCAGTCGTCTTCATCCACTGGTATTTCTCCACTGCCCACCTTCGTGAAGTAGTGCACACCCGCGAACTCTAGCAGCGTGGCGATGCAGTAGAAGAAGCTCATGAAAAGGAACCAATCTAAGGCGGTGGCATACCGAACTTTGGGGAGATCCGTGCGGGAGTCCAGACTTATGGTGGAGAGGGTTAGAACCGTTGTTATGCCAAGACCTACGCGATCGCTAGTGGCTTCCCTGTGGATCCAAAAGGACACCCACGAGAGAACGACTATGAGGATACATGGGACGTAGACTTGGATAAGGAAATAACCTGTGTGTCTCTGGAGGTTGAAGGACACTTGCAATACAGAGAACTGGCCTAAAAATATATATTTTTTTACGTTTTTTACGTTCATTACCAAATTCACAAGATATGAAATAGTTACAATTTTGAGTAATTATTTGGTAGTCTATTTCCCTATATTTTCGGGGGTGATGATGAACGCAAAGTTATTTCTGTAGAGTTAATGAAGGGTTTTTGAGATAAATTGGCTTTTGAAAGTATAGTAAAAACAGTTAGTACAAGAGAAGCAATGAATAGAGTTTAATTACGTCTTCAGATACGCATTTAGCACTACTGAAAGGGGACGCAAGCAAAATTTTGTGAGGATTTGATAGTCTTACGCTGTAGTTTTTAATGTGATTTGATCTTACCTTCTTTCCTCTTTATTGTAAAGTTTCTATATGGAGAACTAATTAAATCGAACTGTGACAGGGTCATACCTGGCACAAAATTAACGCTTTCGTCATTTTGCCAATGATAAATTAGATCCTTTGTTGTATAAGCAACTAGAATTAAAATATATTTACATCACATCACAGGAACCAACAAATACTCACAACTTCCCAAAATTAGCGGACATGATTGACGGTCCATAGGAAAGCTTTTTAATTCCATTGGACATTTAGCTTTGATGGTCAATCTGTTTAAAAAAAACATTACGAAGTATATAATAGAAGTTGGAGTAAAATTTTACCTCATAGAGTACAAAATATCTCCTTCTTGACTAATCCTCAACAGCTTATTTGGAACAGTGATAGTATGAACATAAGAATTCTTCCCATTATAAAAATAAGTGTCTGGCCTCCATATACGCTCCAGCATTTTGATGGACAAAGACAACGACTTGATGGGTCCTAGAAAGGACAATCTTTGGTCCCTCCAGTATTGCCTGAAATAGCAATCCATGGAATACTCCTGAAACAATCGGTGAACGTAGAAATTGTGTAGCAGATGTTTATGCTATGGTATATTGATTTGCATTACCATATCCAATTCCGATACAGGTCCCATGCTGCGTATTAATATGTTTGTTTCAACAATTGTTGGAACATCTAAAATAAAAACGTTAGTATATTTTACAGGGTGTATAACACATACAAAGTATAGCAAAATTTTTAGGAGCCTTTATATTAAGTACCTATATAATTCACTTTTTTTTTATTTTGAAAATTGTGCTTCATTTTCTTTTATGTATTTTATAACTCCTCTGTAAGGCATTCACAAATGATTACCTTGTAATTCTAAACCTCATTTAGGATATTTGAAAAATAAACAAAGCCAATTACAAAGAATCACATCATTAGAGTATAGTATTATAATAGCTTACCGATGTGTGTCAGAGGAATATACGGTACTAAATTGAGTTAATTTTGTTTTGTTAAAGCTTAATGGGACAGAATTTAAAACAGTTCGGTTATTGGAGCTGTAAAAAGGTTTAGAATTTGAGCTGCTCGCAATAAACGTATATAATATCATTTTTGTTCAAGAGGGAAACGATGCTTTCACAATTTTGTTATCAAAATACGTGTGGAGTTCATTATGTTTTTAAACTTTAACTGAAAACAGTAAAATAGGTGTTATTTTAGAACGCACCAATTATATTAACCATAGGTAAAGAGTAAATTAAATAAAATTTCAGTTGCTAGACTTTATGATGTTTGGCAAACATTAAATTAAAAAAGTTTAGTGCAACAAAAATTACATATTACATTAGATTTTACAATTAAAATTATATTTATTATACAGTTATCCTTTGCAACAATTGATAAATGTGTTTAATTAAAAAAAAAAAAAAAACCCCAAAATTTCAAAAAAAATCTTCACAGTTGATGATGTTAAATCACTATTCCGACTATATTTTGCACGAAAATCGCAAACTGTAGCTGACAAAATATTGCTCAGCAATGTAAATGCTTTGTTCTTTCGTGAAGTGCTTTATTTTTAATAACCTTGAACTGTCAGCTGTCAACTGTCTTTTTTTTCGTTGACAACCCTTTATCGCACAAATTCAAATCTTGCGTGAATTATGGGACACCTGATACAAATAATAGTAAAAATAGAAAGTATCAAGAAGTTGTAAGTATTAAGTGTATTTAAAAACATGAATACATATTTTATATGGAAATATTTCGTTTAATTTCCATCATTCATCATAGTACTTTAAATATCAGCAAGGCAGTGAAAGCCCTAAAACCACCTTTTTCATCATTTTTATTAGTTTAATTTAAATAGTTGATTTAATGCAAAACTAAATTCGTTAAATTGTAAAAACAGTTAACGAATAAAACTAGGTGAAGCTATGAGGCAAACGCCGTTTTCTAGGAAATTTCGGCGAAATATGCGGCGCTTCGTTGGGAATTCGCATTTTAATGGAGTAAAGAATTTACGGTTTCCGATGTGCCGGGTGAACTATGTGTATTACGAGATCAAAGACTGCCTCAAGATGACAACCTTTTGTAAAGGTATATCAGAGCCTGGGCATATTAAAAACTGCTCGATAAAGATTCGTCGTATTGCGAGAATCGAGTTTATGTATAAATGACATTTTTCTTCTGCGCCAGCAAAAGAGGATTTAAATTGAACTTGTAGCATATTAATCGTCAACTGAGATTTGAGATTTTGACAAGCTAAATTTGTTAGATTTGAGCAATAACTCTATATGAGGCACAAAGTATATTAATTTCAATTTCAAGTATAAAGGATGTCACTAAAATCATTGATCTTCTTTAATAGTGAATTCTACGTCACAAATAAATTTTGTTACCCGAACTTGTAATATTTCTACATATTTAAAAAAGACATCTGTAGAATAGTCTGAAAAATATATATTTAGGAGAAAATGACACTTGCAGATCAGAATGCAAGACTTTTACAGTAACAAACAAAAACTGTAGATCATATGGAAAAAATGGTTATTAAATTTGAATAAATAGCATTATAAGCAACTATTTTTGAATAGTTAAAAACTCCAAAGACACTAAAAAGTACTAAGTTCAAGTTTTTAATTTTATAATTTTTTTAAATATCCCATTTAAAGTTTCTAGCAACGTAAACCCCTTATTTATTTTTATTAAAATACAATAATAAAAGTACTTAGCCTAGGACCTGTACCTTGGTTATTGCCAGATATTTTTCAGTGAGCTAAAATATTGTAGATCCGAAGAAAAGTAATATTGGAAATTTGAGAGACGTTGCTGTATCAGCTCACTTTCAAGTTACGTGTCATATCGACAGTTTTATTAATTTTAACTAGCAGGTATTGTTACTAATATCGCAACATACAATTAAAACTGACACGAAAATATCAGTATCATATTTTAAGGGAGGTCTACAACAATGAAACCTCTTTCTCAGCGTCAGACAATTTCAGTTAAAACTTCAATTTCTCTTAAATTGCAGTTTGTGTACTGGATATTGGATATCAATCCAGAAGAATGCGAGTTCCTAAATAAAATTCAAGGCAAGGAGAAATGTTTTTCTGGATCTGCAACTACGATTGTCTATATCATAATTTAAGCTGAATTTTTACTTTTACTTTGTGGTCCTTATCACAAGACGTAAAGAACCTCTTATCTTTGTACTTGAATTTGTTACAAAAATAAGCTGAGCGAGTCCTTGTGACAAAAGGCCCAGATAGGAGTCTTCCTTTCAAATTAAGGCTCATTTTTATGGTCACGGAATTTACGAAGCTTTAGCGAAATTATACAGAAACCAAATTTAGAAAAAAATGTGAGGATAGATAACATTCTTGCTTTTTATACAGGGCGTTTTCAAACAAATTTGAAATTAAAATATCAATCTATAACATGAGGAAATATTTTTGTTTAAAATTTTTCAGATATTTTCAAAAGTGATTTTTCTTAAGTTAAATTGCGGAAATAGAAAAATGATTTGAGCAACAATTAGAACAGGAAGAAATCATTTTGTTATGTATACCTCATGTCCAATTAGACTATGATTCATTAGTTTTGCAGTTAGAAAAATATATTTCATTTTAATTTCAATTACAATCTGTAACTCCAAAATTAAGTGATTTTGGAACAAAGTTTATCAGAACCAATTATCATATTTTGGTCTCGAAATTATCTGGTAGAATTTGCGTTTCATTTAACTAAATCCAGTCTATACACTTTAGTAGGTATGAAATGTTTTAATTTTAATTTACTTAATTTAGATTTATTTCTATCTACATATAAATTGTGGATATAAGAACTTTCCTGCCTGTAATTGGATATTCTGTAGGGAACGATAATGAATGAGTGAGTGAGTGAGTGAGTGAGTGAGTGAGTGAGTGAGTGAGTGAGTGAGTGAGTGAGTGAGTGAATGAATGAATGAATGAATGAATGAATGAATGAATGAATGAATGAATGAATGAATGAATGAATGAATGAATGAATGAATAAATGAATGAATATAATTTTAATACCTTTTCCATGCGTTGGCAACTGAGAACTCTCGTAATTTTTTAACAAATTTTCCAGAACCAAGGTGATATTTTTGCTAACAACGTCGTTCACTGGAGATCTGGACGTCCGAGTATGATTCGTTTTTATTTCTTCCTTACTACGAGAAAAACTAACCACGGTATACTTAAACGGTGCATTATGTTTGAACAAATTGTGATCCAAACCTACTCCATGCCTCAAGGATGTCTTCTCTAGACACAAAACTGTCAGTCTGTAAGCAAATTATTAAATTATTGGGTTGCATTAATTTCTTTGACGGGGTGAAATTGTCGTTTTACTATTCCTATCAGAATATTAAATTTCACAGCGAATTAACACCTACATATGTAAATTAACTACTAAAATGAATATATCTCCATTAACATTATTTTTTTTCAGTATCGGTGTATGAGTAAATGTCAGGGTAAGAATAATGGCTTCAAAAAATTGTAATATGTGTCAAAAGAGAAGGTTTATAAAAAATATAGTGGGAAACGAATTTCTTTGCCACCTGTTTTCTTTTTGTCTATCCCGTATGGAACATCATGAAAAGAAATGTTATTTCCAGAGACTTGTCGTATACAAAATTTATAAAATTGATCTGGGGTGGTAATGAAATTGACGGCCTCTGTTGCTAAGCTTCCAAGTCGATATCATGTAGGGAACTATCAATCAATTCAATTTGTACTTTCCATGGAACAATTTAGGTACAATCTGAATAATATATTGTATAAATATCACAGGGTGACGTTTAATTTAATTGAATGCCCATATAACGGTACGAGAACTGTTAGTTTTGGGTTATAGCTTAATAGAGGTACTAGTTTTTGAATGCTTGATATTACATGAGAGTTTTACTATGGGATGTTTGCATAAAAAATTGTGTAATATTTTGTCACTGGATACTGTTCTACAATGAGAGTAAATGCAAATTATACAAACAATTTCGCTAATAACGACATTTTTATCAACTTATGACGTGTTAGACTATAGACATATCATTACAGAAAACTTCTTCTAGTAACTCTTTTCTGTATATATTATGAATAAAAGAAGGACGGTGGTATGAGATTTTAATTGAGCTTCCTATTAACAGAGGGCGTAATTAACGAATAGTTTAGTTCGTCACAGTTGTCCGCCAAATTGGTTCCCCTTTTACATTACATTACATTACCACACAAAAATAAAAAAGTACTGGTCTTTTGCCATATTATTTTATTTTATGGCAATATCTGTAAAGGTGTAAAGCACCCCATTGAACATTTTTTTAATATTTATTCATTGTATATAAACACATAAAACAATCCAAAATAGGAAAAAAACATTGCCGGAAAAAATAACATTTTGCATCAGCTTTATTCTTTGACCAAAATGTATTACAAGGTATTAATATGTTTCGAATAGGTTGCGTCAAATGAATTTCTTTATATTCTAATATTATTTTGCATTATTATAGATGGTGTTTCATATCTTCAGAAATGTACCTAATTTTTATTTATCGTTGAATACAGGACGTAAGAAGTTTGACTGTCATTACTTCAGTATGAGATAGAGTAAATCATAAATGAACAAAAAAGTAAGATTAACAGTTTTCAAAATACAGCGAGTATTAATAATGGGGAGTTTCATCACAACCTGACAACATCGTTTAACCTAACCCTACATAGCTGATGCATATCACGTATGCACGCGGCAGTCTTGTCCTACGGAAAAAATGTAAACAACTATTATTGCGAAACATTTAGTAAATTTCAAGACAATTGTTTTCCAGTTTTTAAATAAATAAAATAAAATGTATCGAATTGTAGTAGGTACGAAGATGTGTTGTGCTTAAATTTTAGCTCGAATTTTAGTAATTATGGATCTTTTAAAACAGGAACTGAACTTTAAAAATATGTAATTAAAGTACCCAAAGATTCAGGTCGTCTAAAATCATTCGTATTAAAAACAATTTAGGTACTTACCAAAAAGCAAAATTCAGTAATTTTTAAACGCACAAGTACAAAATAAACTATAACATATGCTCAAAATGTCCACCACCATTTTCGATGCACGCACGACACTTTCGAATCCAATTTTCGCGCACTAGGTGGAAAACGCCTCAAGAAAAGGAAATTGTGGTACCAAAAAAACACTCAGACACTGTCCAATTCCAGATACCAACTGAATTGCGTATTGCTGGCTGGACAGCTTAGTCACATTGCTCGATATGAATTTTATCGAATTTTAAATTTATTACACCGCTAATTATTTTTTAGAATTAAGCATAAACAGGTTAAAAAAAGTGATAAACATTGTATTTTATGGTATTCTGTGGACACAGTTATGTCAATAATCCT